CCGAACCTTTAATCTCTGAGAGGTAGTGGGATCCTTCAAGCTAACGTTGAAGTTGGGAAAGATTGTGAGAACTTCCAACATGAATAGTAGTCAGAACAGTGCCAATAACGTCATGCTCATAATGGAGGTAGCTAGAGTCCAAGAGAGAGACTCTAGCTGAGACAGGTAATCCTCGGCTCCCATGGAGGGAGAGGACTAATCGAATAGCTCCATAATGAAGATGAGTATAACCCTCAGTTTGCCAATGCCTGATGAAATCTTTGGGGATCTCAATGTTGACATATTGTTCTTCTGTAGTGGATGCTAAGACACACTGGTCCATCCTAGAGGATTGGACGTATTCCTTAACATGAGGTATTCTGGTGGAAAGAAGACAAGTGATAGATCTAAGGGTAGATCTTTGTCTTTTAAAGATATTATAAGGACTAAGGAGAGGACTGTAAATTTCAGATATTTGAGCATCTTCCGAGACATAAGTGTATTTTATGAGGTTTTCTATCTTAGAAGAAAGAGTTTTTGAGATGTTTTTAGGAAAAGAAAGAGTTGAGTTTAACAGAACGGGATCAACGGGACCAGACTCTGATGGTGGTGTTTGATTTTCCATAGTTAAAAGTTGGCAAAATTTGGGTCATGTATATATATGATATATAATTTAAATGTGTTAGGGTCATTATTTATTAAGCCAAATAATAAAGTGATCTGACTAAATTAAAGTTTTGGCTAAAGGCATATGTCATGAAAATAAAATTGTGTAGAGACCATAGAGCAATTTCTAATTTGATAAGGGGCCAAATTGGAAATACTAAAACTTAAGTAATTAACCTAATTTTGGTTATTTTAAGGGGTCATGGTCCCCTTCTGGGAGCACGTAGACAGAACGTAGTTCCAGTCCCGTTCTTTTCTTTCTATCCCCATCAAGAGAGAAAATCAAGAGGGAAATACAGGTGCTCTTCAGGTGGAAGACCATAAGATCAAATCAAAAGTGCTCTACAAAGGATATCGTCATTATGGTCAATTCAGGTACGCTTTCGCATTTAGTTTATAACATGTTTACAATATGGGATTATAGATATATGTTTGATCATTAGAATGAATATCATATTCAATTACAGTTTAACCTAACAATTGGTATCAGAGCAACCCATACTTGATTCATGTTTGCATTTGGAAATTAGATTTAACAAAATTGAGATTTAAGAATTCACGTGGAGAATAATCTCCAAATTCTGCGAACCCTAAATTTAAATTTGGGGTAAAATCCCCAATTTTAAAACCTAATTTTGAATTTGGGGGTGAAATCCCCAAACTGCTTCTGCTAGTGGAGGAGACACTGCTCTGTCGTCTTCATTGGACACTGGATCACGAGGCAAGTGCTTCGGAGGCTGATTCCAACAACAAGCGGCTGGTGCTCGCACTGTATGACGCCCTAAACTCCGGCGACTTCGTCGCCGTCGTCAAGATCGTCATTGCCGACCTCGAGTGGTGGTTCCATGGTCCGCCGTCACACCAGTTTTTGATGCGCATGCTCACCAGCGATTCTGTAACATCCTGATTCTCAATAACCCTAGTTTGTTAAATTTTGACAAAATCTTTGTCAAAATTTTAATAATTAAATTATTAGGAATTGGGTAAAGAAACTGTAGAGTTTTATGTTTGTTAGATTATTTGTGTTTTTGTAGAATTTTTCTGGAATTTTTAGAAAATACTTAAAATTGATTCGTTTCGCGGGCAACTGGACGCCTGATAGTAATTATATGATTTAGGGTTGGAATTGAAAGAGTATGGAATTAACAATTTTAATTGTCACATTTAGAAATTATTGTTTTCTTGTATGCATTGAGTGTGAATACATTAAAATCTTATTATGTGTATAAATTGACAAGAAATATATGATGGTTGATATGGTTTGGAGTGATGTTTGAGTCTTAAGGGTTGTGGGTTCAAATCCTGGTAGGACTAAATAATGGATAACATTTTTGTAATATAATCCGCTGAGCGCACGAAAATCCGCTGAGCGGATTATGTCTGCTGATCGATCAACAGGTCTTCTAATCGATTAAAATAGAGTTTTGGGATCCGCTGGGCGCATCAGAAATCCGCTGAGCGGATTGTGGTTCGAAATCTCTATCTTACTTGCGGCCACATATCCGCTGGGCGCACGATAAATCCGCTAAGCGGATTGTGAGTTGAAATCTTATTACTTGCGGCCTCATATCCGCTGAGCGCACGAGAAATCCGCTGAGCGGAAAATTAGGTGAAATAGGACTCAACCATTTGACTTTTAAATGAAACATTCTGCAAGTTTTTCGTAGGTTACTCATTTCTCTCTTTCTCTCAAAATTTCCTTACCTTCAAACTTGATTTTAACAGGAAAATCTTGATTTTCTTGAGAAGCTCCAAGAGGTAAGTTGGTTTATCTCAATCTCCTCTACATTTCTACCGTTTTATTTTTCAAAACGGTGCATTTTCTATTTTTATCCTCACTTGAATGATCTTGAATGGGAGTAGGAAGAAGGTTATTGTAGGTTTTACACCTAGAATACTAGAATGATGCTTAAAATTGAGGATTAGAAGTTGTTAAGCTAAAAACTTTAAGAACCCTAATTCGTAGGTACTATTCATTGAATTTTTGGGACTTGTGTGAACAGAATTAGGAATTGGTATCTTCATGAAAGTTGTAGCCCTTTAAGTTGTCGAAATTTAGAAACTGGTTTTACATTAAACGGATATTGGTAGCTCAAGTTATACCCATTTTACTCTCAAGTGTTCTAGCTGTGACGTTAAGATGTTGCCCTGTTTCAACAGCCTCGATTTTTGAATTACTGGGATTGATACGTATGAAATTAGGACTTGATTACTTCATAAGAGTTGTAGGAAATTATATCCCCGAAATTTAGAAATTTATTTCATGTTAATATCTTATGTGTAGCAAGAGTTATAATCCAATTAACAAGACATGTTCAGAGTGTTATTGTAGTTGAGCCTAGTTGGAAACAACCACTGAAAACTGAAAACTGCATCTATTCTATAGGGTATTTGAATTTATTTCCTTCATCAAAATTGCAGGTAATTAAGTTATTGAAATTTTGGCTCAAATCTCATGCCAAAACAGCTTATATAACTCTAGAAAATTTTGAAATACTGAACCTTGTCCATGGTTGTTATTAGGATTCTTTCTACTCTAAGTGTATACAAAATAGGATAATTTTCTAAGTTAATTGTAAGCTGAATGTGAGCTTAAAATATTATTAGAAATGGATTAGTAATACAAAGTGAATTTAAATTCTCATGAGATAGAATCATAGAAATAAAAGATTCTAACTAGCATTTTATTACGTATATAGATTTTGCTGAAACACAACATCAAGCTTTGAAAGGAATAAGTGTGAACATATCAGGTAAGGGGTGGGCTATATAGTAAGGATTACATCATAAACTTGTTTGACCTTATTTGTTGAATTTGTCTAAATTTGTTATGATTGATCATTTTGATTTTATTATATGCTTGGTTGTGAAAGTGATCATGAATTGCTTACGTGTATGATGGTGTAAAATATATGTTTGGTACTCTATTATGATATGTATGGTCTTTGAGTGAGCATTTATATGCATGGTGGTTTTTCATGAGAAAGTTCATTGAAAATTTAATTGAGAGAATTGGATGATGGGTTGTGAACCCTTTTTGAACTGTATTGGAAGTTTTCTCGCTTGTAACAGGTGATTAGAAAATTTTTGGGAAGTCTGCATTACAGGGGAAACTCTGTCAAATTTTTGGAAAAATGTGAATTTCTAAGAAAAACCACTTAGGGACTCATACATTATTCATTTGAAAATGGTGATTTGTGAAATCTCGGGAATCGGAGATTATGGACTCGAGAATACGATAGGGAGGCCCCGAGGGAGGACTTGAGGATAGGAAGGGTAGTGGTTGGAGGCCCCAAAAGACCCGTGCTCGCTACCCGTTGTCGGGGATCCCACTGTACAAACTCGCTATACCTGATCGTGCTCTTACCGTATATCAATGGTCAGTGAGCTATCGGGTTTATATTTGAGCATGGGTCTCAACAATCCCGTGGGTGGATTTTCCATGCCTAGTAGTTTCAACTCCTGGCTACCCCAGGCATCGATTTGAGAAATGATTCGGGCTCGCATGCATAAACATTTTAGAAAACATATTAGGATCATGCATCATTAACATCAATCATTTGGAATTTGATTGACTTGTGAATGTTTATGATGTTGATTTTAAAATGATGTATGAACTGTTGCTCACCCTCTTGTCTTTCTCGTTTTCTTTATTTCTTCGTGCTTGCGGTACTTCGTTGGACTCGATCGGTCATTGTTTGAAGAGAGGGAGATGGCACAGATTCCACACTCGATGAATATGTTACTCATACTCATTAGTTGGGAGCCACAATGATGGCAACATGTATTGGGATAAATATATCCAAACTTTTATAGATAGTCTTTTATAGTATATAGACCTACATGGTAGTGAGTAGTAGTTACTCTTTTGTGTAGTTTGTCGCTTCGTAGGAAGTATCCTCAATGTTGCCCTTAATATTTTGGAGGATTGTACTAGTATTTTATCTATATGTAATTATGAATGTTTACTTTTAGTACTTTTTAAAATGATGAAATGCAGGAATGTATTATTGAAAATTTATGTATATTAATATTATGTACAAGGGAAAAATTATTATCGGTTAAAAAAAAAAATCTGCTAAAAATTATTAATTCTTTTGATTGAGGGTTTATAAGGTAGGGTGTTACAGATTCCACCGCCGAAACCTTCCGATTCATTCCGCAATCCATTGCCGCCTTTGGATCTACTGTCATCGTCGAGGGCTGCGACACTGCCCGCAACATTGCCTGGGTTCACGCCTGGACCGTCACAGATGGGATAATTACTCAGGAGTTCTTGGCTAATTCAGTCGCGGGGTTGCTCACGACGGAAAGGGCTTATAAGAGAGCTTTTGAGGAACACGGGTGAGTTCGTGATGTCAAGGTACCGTGAAGTTGCTGAAATTGTTCTTAGATACCTTGAGCATCGGGATCGGCTTGTTCGTTTGAGCATAACTTCATTGCTGCCTCGTATTGCACATTTTCTTCGTGATCGTTTCGTCACAAACTACTTAACTATATGCATGGATCATATCCTTTCTGTCTTGAAAGCACCACAAGATTGCGATAGTGGGTTCATTGCTCTTGGAGAGATGGGGAACTGGATGGGGAACTTATCCATTATTTACCGATAATTACTATTCACTTACGGGAGGCGATTGCTCCACGTAGGATCAAACCTTCACTTGAGGCCTTGGCTTGTGTTGGAAGTATTGCTAAAGCAATGGGCTCAGCAATGGAACCTCATGTACGAGGACTTTTGGATATAATGTTTTCTACCGGCCTTTCTACAGTACTTGTGGAGGCCCTTGAGCAAATAAGTACCAGCATTCCATCTCTGCTGCCAACCATTCAAGACCGATTACTAGACAACATATCCATGGTTCTTTCTAAATCCCATTATCATCTGGGGAGGTCTTCACAGAGCGTCAGCAGAGGAACAACAATAAATGCCCCTCAACAAGTCTCAGAGCTTAATGGTTCTGCTCTTATACAACTTGCTTTGCAGACTCTTCCCGTTTTAACTTTAAGGGCCATGAATGGTTCTTTAGAATTATAAATTTGGTTTTGTTATATAAATAAAATATTATTTTTTGGTAGTTTAATATTTTTGTGAACAAATTGAGTCAAGAAGTTACCAAAGTAACCTCCCTTGAATTGGGCAGTTCATGAAAAATATTGAATGTTAGTGTTTGTGTATATTCATGCGAGTATTAGTCGGCCCAAAGGAAGATTAATATTTGGCCGAATTGCACACACACTTGTAATGATAAACATGTGATAATTATAAGGATTTGCTTTGTCGATGATAAATCAATCCAAAGACTGGTTTGTTGTTGGACGTGTTTTATTGTCAATGTTTGATTATTACAACAAGATACCTCTAGCAGCTTAATATTACTCGTCCAAAGACTTGATATTGATGGTGCATTTGGTGTCTTGAGATGGGTTAAACCATTATTTGAATATATATTTTTTATTTATAATTATTTATTTTATAATGTGAGCATAATTAGTTTATTTCTTTTGTTCTAATCCAGCTACAATTGTTTCTGTATCTGCCAATTTAAATTATGTTCCGATCCTCAAAAGTATGTTCCCTACTTTGGTCTGTTCTGAAGTCAATTTAGCGTCAGTACCTAGTAACACTTGGTGGTTAGACTCAGGTGCAACTACTAACATCAGTGTTTCTATAAAGGGTTGCCTAAGCTACCGGAAGCCAATTGATTCTGAAAGATGGATATATGTTGGAGATGGCAAATCGGTAGAGGTGGAAGCTATAGACATTTTAAATTGTTATTGAGTACTATTTTTTTATTTGGATTTGAAAGACACTTTTGTTGTGCCGTCATTTAGACGGAATTTGGTTTCAGTTTCTTATCTGGACAAATTAGGTTATTTGTGTTCATTTGGAAACAATAAGTTCAATTTGTCTTTTAATTCAGATATTGTTGGAACTGGTTCACTTTTGCCTTATGATAATCTGTATTTACTTGATACTGTGACCACCTATAATGAAACCCTTAATACAGAATCACGGGGTACTAAACGTAAAATTGATGATACTCACTCAGGAGCATTATGGCACAGGCGCTTAGGTCACATCTCTAAAAATAGAATTGAACGACTTGTGTCAACTGGAATCTTAGAGTCCATTGACTTCACAAACTTTGATGTTTGTGTTGAATGCATTAAGGGCAAACAGACCAAAGCGAAGAGATTAGGTGCATATAGAGCTACAGACGTCTTAGAGTTGATACATACGGACATTTGTGGGCCATTTCCTACACCTTTGTGGAATGGTCAACAATACTTTATATCATTCATAGACGATTACTCACGATATGCATACTTATTCCTTATACATGAAAAGTCACAATCTCTAGACGTGTTCAAAACATTTAAAGCTGAAGTTGAAAATCAACTCAATAAAAGAATTAAGTCTGTCAGATCTGATCGTGGTGGTGAGTACTATGGCAGATTTGACGGGTCAGGTGAACAGCGTCCAGGACCTTTTGCCAGGTACCTAGAGGAGTGTGGAATTGTCCCACAGTATACCATGCCGGGATCACCTAGCATGAATGGTGTAGCTGAAAGACGAAACCGGACTCTTAAAGATATGGTCAGGAGTATGATTTGTCATTCCACCTTACCAGAGTCACTCTGGGGAGAGGCACTAAAGACGACAACTTATATTCTGAACAGAGTACCAACTAAAACAGCGACCAAAACACCTTATGAGCTTTGGACTGGGCGACAACCTAGTTTGAAGCATTTCCATGTGTGGGGTTGTCCAGCTGAGGCAAGGCCTTATAAGCCAAATGAAAAGAAATTGGACTCCCGAATAATAAATAGTTATTTTATTGGTTATGCTAAAAGATCCAGGGGATATAAATTTTATGATCCCACATTAAAAACAATTTTTTAGACGGGAACTGCTACGTTCTTTGAGGATATTGAGTTTGGGGGGAAGAATAAAATCAGGAACTTTATCTTGGAGGAAGAATCGGTAACAATTCCAGAACCGATTCAAACAGTCACTTTTGATAAAGTAAGTTCGGAACCTCCACAAGGCATTGTTAATGAACCCCTTACTCAAGATGATTTGGTTGTTCATGAAGAATAAACTCAAGATCCTCAAGAACCTGTGCATCATGAGCCAATAACTTTGCGGAGATCTACTAGAGAAAGAAGAAATGCTATTTTAGATGATTACATGGTAATTCTTCAGGAACATGAGGAAAATAATGATATAATGAAAGATGACCCAGTTAACTTCCGTCAAGCTATACAAGGTTCTAACTCTCAAAAGTGGATTGAAGCAATAAGATAAGTATAAGTCCATGTAAGACAATAAGGTTATTGGGAACTTGTCCCATTACCAAAAGGTATGAAACTCATTTGGCTTCAAGATGAATATTGTTGATGATTGTATGTATCACAAGTTTAAAGGGAGACAAGTTTAGTCTCAATCAATGCCCAAAGGGAATTTGAAAATTGAGGAAATGCAAAAGATTCCCTATGCATCAGTTGTAGGGAGTTTGATCTATGCCCAAGTATGTACGCATCCAGACATAGCATATATAGTTGGGGTTCTAGGCAGATATTTAAGCAATCCAGGAATAGACCATTGAAAAGCAGCAAAAATGGTCATAAGATATTTAAAGAGAACAAAAGATTATATGCTCACATACAGGAGGTCAGACTAGTTGGAGATCGCTGGATTTTCTGACTCAGATTTTGCAGGATGTCAAGAATTTGTAGCGTGCTATGAGGCATCAAATCATGGAATATGACTGAGAAATTTTGTCACAGGGCTGCAAATTGTGAAAGGCATTGAAAGACCATTTAAGTTATATTGTGACAATAAATCAGCTGTATTGTTAAGGAAAGAGTACAAAGTGGATAGATTTTTATAGAACACTTAAGGACAAACTTCATGATAGTATATCCTCTAACTAAAGGACTTCCGCCCAAGGTCTTTCATGAGCATATTACTCACATGGGTGTTTTACAGTTTGAGGAATTTGTGGTTTAGTGGGAGTTAGTCACTTTCATATATTTTATGTTCTATGTTTAATTTCATATATGTATACATTGATTTTTGGACATATTTGGTTATCTATAGATATGCGGTTTTTTCGTTCATTCATTACACTTTGTACATTAAGGATATTATATCGATCTCGATAAGTTAAAGTTTGGACAAGTTGAAAATAGACGTGTACAAATCACCTTCACGTAATTTTTCATGCTACACATTTCATGATGAATCCATGTCATTTGGTTATGTTAGGATGAGTAATCATTGTTGGTTTTAGTTGCGATGATGCAATGAAAAGCTGGTTTGGTTCTATATCATGATATGATTAATGGACAAGACTTTTGGAATATGCTAAAGGAATATAATGGCAATTTTGAACTCATAAAGTCTAACACATTTGTAAGGTTGTAAGGACATATATATTTGTGACCAGTGGGAGATTGTTGGCAAAATTTGGGTCATGTATATATATGATATATAATTTAAATGTGTTAGGGTCACTATTTATTAAGCCAAATAATAAAGTGATCTGACTAAATTAAAGTTTTGGCTAAAGGCATATGTCATGAAAATAAAATTGTGTAGAGACCATAGAGCAATTTATAATTTGATGAGGGGCCAAATTGGAAATACTAAAACTTAAGTAATTAACCTAATTTTGGTTATTTTAAGGGGTCATGGTCCCCTTCTGGGAGCACGTAGACAGAACGTAGTTCCAGTCCCGTTCTTTTCTTTCTATCCCCATCAAGAGAGAAAATCAAGAGGGAAATACAGGTGCTCTTCAGGTGGAAGGCCATAAGATTAAATCAAAAGTGCTCTACAAAGGATATCGTCATTATGGTCAATTCAGGTACGCTTTCGCATTTAGTTTATAACATGTTTACAGTATGAGATTATAAATATATGTTTGATCATTAGAATGAATATCATATTCAATTACAGTTTAACCTAACATTTTTTACTCACTTCCCACTTATAATTCTTACTATCATACCCCTTTTGAAAAATGGTAAGACTCTGATACTATTTCGGACAGAGACCCCTTCTTGGCAATATGATATGAATATCTTCGGACATAACGACGTCATCGCTCGGCTTAAGAGTCCACTTAAGTTCATATTTTCCTCAAAAAGAAAACTATGTTGTAGAACGATTTCAGGGATCGAAAACTTTCTAATTCATAATACTTCTTCAAATAAAAAATTAACATTTATAATTTTTATATAAAAAAAAAACATGTTTTCCCACCTTTAAATAGCTAACTAACTTGTAAATTATCAATTCTTCAACATTTTCATTACTCAATCAAAGCAAACTCTGCTCAAAACGTGTACGAGCATCATATATTCCCTGAATCAATTTAAGTAATATCAATTCATAAATTCAAACGATTTTTAAATTTAACATTTATAATGATCATCCTAACTCATAATTCAGAATACAATGTCTTCTATCTCACAGGTAATTATCTAGTTTTTCTTGCCTTAGTAAAATCTTATTTAAAAAAAAAAACACTAGTTGATGATGTCTTAATTAGTTTTCTTTTTTTAAAAAAAACACATCTCTAAGAAATTAGGTCAGTATGATTTTTTTAAAAATTAAAAAAATACAAAACTTCAAAATTCCTTGCATATAATGAGAAAAACAAAACCTACACCAGAATTTCGACAAAACCATTTCGAAATTTTAGAAAGAAGGTAAAAGTTCTAGAAAAAGCTCGAAGACAAATAATTTTAAGGAGATAATAATTTTATATAAAAAATGAAATATTTTATATTTGGTTTATTACCTGTAAATCTTAAGAAATTTCATATATCATTTAATTAAAATCTATAATTCAAAAGACTTGAGAATAATTAAACTTGTATCTCACGATATTTATAATTTCCCCGCCTATTAATTACTTAATTTAATTTTTTATGTTCTTTTTACTTCTTATAAAACCATTCTTACCAATTTATGGTCATCTTCCAAATGGGCGCAATATCTTTGATTTTTAATTAGTTTTGTGTTATATTTACATCCACTATATCTCTCTCTATTCAATTAACGACGAAAACCTGTTATTAATATTTTTTACCTTCAACTAATTATAAATGATTTTAAATAACTTTATTATCAAATTGATTGTATATATAATGACGATTAAGCAGAATATTCAAATTATTATTATTATCTTCCGTCTAAATTTATTATTTAATTTAAATGTACCGATAATACATGTTTTGGATTTCATTAATTATTTTTAAAAAAGTAAATGATTTATTGATCGATAAATTAAACTATTAAAACATTAATTAACATACGTCATCTTTTGATTAAAAAATATTTCTTTCAATGCTTAAAATCATGCATGTTGACATTTTCCTATTATTATGTAAAAAAAAAGTTGTATTTTCCTCTCTAACAATGATTAGTGAGTAGCAGCTTCATAATTCATTGACCCTATTCCTTTCTTTATTTTGGGATTAAATTAACTTCAATTTTTGTTTTTTGGCTTTAGTAATAAAATTTCAGCATCTATTTCAAGGTTTCGTCTTTTTTGGTATTTTTTTTTTCACGGTTGGATTCTTTCCTAGTTCACCCATTTTTCGATTTTTCTCAACCTGTTTCCTCTTGTGTTTCAATAGGGTTTCTATGTTTTTTCTTTTTTTTCCTCCGAGCCTTTTTTTCCCCAGAAATTCTTAAATTCGTGGACGGTCGAGGCTCGATTTGGTACGTTTCTTTCGATTTAGGGTTAGGGTTTTGAGTCTGTTAGTCAATGGGTCTGTTGCATGCAAATTGGGGTGTCGATTTTCGTACCGGCTTCAAATCTCTATTTGGTTTTGTTGCAGTGAGCTATGGGCACTGGCTGTTTTACATTTTTTCGTGAAACAAAGCATCAAAATTTAACTTTTAATTTTCCCGACAGGATTTTGATTGGGATGAATTCTGCCTTTTCTCTCTATCTTTTTTTATTTTTGGGTTCTTAGTGCATTGAATTGGTGCTGCATTCACTCTACGAATTAAACAAGGTGGTATGATGCAATGAAGTGTTGTTCTTGGAGGGTATTCTTAGTGTAGCACTCTGAATTTGGAGGTAAAATGTTCAGTCCAAGCATGGATTCCGCGAGGGATGCTGGTGGTGTGGCAGGGACTGTGCTAATTCCCATGCGGTTTGTGTGGCCATATGGGGGAAGAAGTGTGTATCTAACTGGTTCTTTCACACGGTGAGTCTTTTGTAGATTACTTCGCCTTAATCCTCCAGCATTCACGACCCTTTTTGTGAAAAAGGCTCCACTTTGTTCTGATTTTATTGTGTTGGTTTTCGTGGGATTCGTGTCACTTTCCAGGTGGTCTGAACTTCTACAAATGTCGCCAGTGGAAGGCTGCCCAACTGTGTTTCAAGTTATTCATAGCTTGGCCCCTGGTTACCATCAGGTCAGTTTATCGTGCTTTGCTGGTACTAGATGTTGATTGTGTACAAGTTTCTTGTTCTTTCTGAATTATTTGTTTGTGTGTGTTTGATTAGCAAGTTTACTGCACTTCATAATTTTTGTAGTCTATTGCTTCTAAATATGTTTTGGTGGCAAAATGTTCCTTTGGCACTGAGTTCTGTATTAATGACAATACTTAAGTGTGGGCAGCATAAGAGAGTTATTTGCTGAGGTTATCTCCAGATGTTTTGAATGCAAGATCTATTCACAATCTTAGCTTTTTTGAGATTTTGTTCTGGGATGTTTCACTTTCTCAATGAATGTGTTTTAAGAAAATGTTTGACCTTTATTCTTGGTGGCTAGATACTTATTACATAGTTATTTGAATGCAGTACAAGTTTTATGTCGATGGAGAATGGCAGCATGATGAGCATCAACCTTGTTTATCTGGAGAATATGGGATAGTTAACACCGTTTTATTGGCTACTGATCCTAATTTTGTACCTGTTTTAACTCCAGACATAGTTTCTGGATCTAACATGGATGTGGATAATGAGGCTTTTCGACGCATGGTAAGCATTAGTCATACTACGGTTGTGATTGTTGTTATGAGCATAGTTTCTCTTAGCATACTGGCTGGTGGATTTGTTTTTGGACTGAAATTTCAAAGAATAGTATCAGAAGATTGTGTTGTAACTCATTTTAGAACTCCTGGATCCCAGTATTTTAAAATCTTTCAATTCACTAATAATCATTTATGTAAGTCTGAGATAAATTGATATATTTTTTTGTAAATGTTGGTCCACATCTTAAGGAAGGTTTGGGATAGTCAGTGCTTTGGGGAGTGGGATGAATGGAAAAGAGAGAGAGGAAAGAGACTGAATATAAAATGTGGAAGTGGGAGAGAAGTAGTGATTAATGGAGGCAACAGTTGAAGGGTAATTTAGTCTAAGAAAGTGTATTTACCAAAACTTCATATCACCTTTATTATTGTTATAGATTATAGATTAAAATTGTTATTTTCTTGCTTATGAATTTCATTGTTCAGGTACGATTGACAGATGGTACATTAAGCAACGTGTTGTTACCTAGAGTATCTGATGTTGATGTACAGACCTCTCGTCAGCGTATTTCTTCATTCCTATCTACATGCACAGCGTATGAATTACTTCCTGAGTCAGGCAAGGTTTGGAACTTTTACCATCAGCCCATTATCTTTGTGACTTACTATCTAGAATAACATAATTTACAAATTTAGTGACATCTGGCCACAGGTTGTTACCTTGGATGTTGATCTGCCTGTGAAACAGGCATTTCACATACTGCATGAGCAGGTATAATTGCTTTGCTTGGACTAAAATTCTTATGTTGACTTTTCAGATATTTTGAGTGAGTCTTCTGAAAATGTTTTTGAACGCTGGATACTGCATGTAACTTCCATTCTTTTTCCCTGATAAATGGGAAGGAAATAACCTATATGCTTTTGAATCCTTTTCTGGAATTTGAGCAGTTGTTTTGAAACTTCTTGCTTTGATTATGTTTTGATTCTTCTTCTTGCATTTTATGCTCTGACATATTCATCTGTAGTGATACTGTATGTTTTTTCTACTATTGATTAGTAGCTTGTTTAGACAACTTTATGAAGGAGTAATTTTGCAGGGAATTCCCATGGCTCCTCTTTGGGACATCTGCAAGGGGCAGTTTGTTGGAGTTCTTAGTGCCTTGGATTTTATTTTAATTTTAAGAGAGGTATGTCAAGTATAAGATTATATTGGCCCATTCTGTCAGCAAATTTTTGGTAAGCAAAGCTCTTGTCATCATGGTTTGTATAACACTCCAAATAACTTGGAAAGGCTAATATCCATGTATACAAGATGTACGACAAAATTACAGGTATCAGAAAGAAAAGAAAAAAATGAGTTAGAAAACCAAAGGGGAATATTTATTGCTTGGTTATAGAATTATAGTTAATTTTGTTCATGCAAGGTGTACCCATTGCTTCATTTTCCTTTAATTTAGTCCAATTGAATACTTGTGTGCTAAGTCCAGCCATCTTCTCCAAGACTGTATCTCCAGCCTTGCCCCATATCAAGCTTCATAAAATAAATGGCCAGACCAAATTACGAAAACAATAAACAGAAGAATCTTAATAATGTTTGAGCAATTGATGATGAATAAGTAAATGATCAAATAGACCATACATCTTATTTGTGAAACAATACGAACTTACTATAACATATTTCCTAATTTTTGGGAAGGAACTACCAAAAGTCTTCTTAGAATTTCTGATCTTTGTATTTCTATAATTCCTTGAAGAAACATTTTACAAGGTCCATTTGGTGGACATGATGGGATGAAAAAAGATAGGAATAGGATAAGGGAGCGTGATAAGAGCAGGATAGGATATGAACTTGATTGCTATTATCTTGTGTTAGATATGCACTGGAAAACAAAACCAGATGAAAAAGGATAGGAATAGTATTATTATGAGGTGTGAGTCTTTAGATTGACCAATATGATATAAATCATATTTAAATGACAACTTTTTGATAGAATTGTATATAATTTTTTAAATAAACTTTGATATATTTTTTGAATTTTTATACATTGTTTCAAATTTAAAAAATATTTAAATATTGGAATCATACAATTTTAGTAAATTAATTATCCCTATAAATATACAATTTTGACATGTACTGAATTTTAAAACTACTTTATTTAAGTCGGTGTTGAGTTAAATTACAATTTTAAATTCAAAAAAATTATGAGTAGCAAAATTATTTTGCATAAGAGAGTAGTAACACATGATGTAAGTAATTTAAATCTTCCGTAAATCATTCACGTTTTAAATAACAAAATGTCGTTACAAAAAATAAACTACATATTTTCAAGACAACTTGTATAATCGAGGGATATTCTATGTTCATATTGAAATTGGTTTTCCTGATGGTGATAAAGCGCGCATTTATTTCACTATATTTCTTATTTGTCTGTAATAATTTAGTAATGAATCTCCAATTTTCTATTGTACCTTTGAAATGGTATTTTTTTTTTATCTTAATTTTATCTCAAAAATGGAAAAGGGAATTGCACTTCATCTATCTTCAATGTTTGGTTATGCTTGTTAAAACTTCTCCTTTTCTCAGCTTGGAAATCATGGGTCCAATCTGACGGAAGAGGAGCTTGAAACACATACCATATCCGCTTGGAAAGAAGGAAAATGGACAGCATTTACACAATGTTTTATCCGTGTAAGTGTTTTATGTTGGGTTTTCTTGGCACTGGTATGTGAATGTTTTTATTGTCTAATACTACATTTGTTTTGGTAAAGTATTATGATGTGCTCATTTTTGTGCTTTATACATGGAATAGCTTGAGCTAATTATAGATCTGGAAATGATTCTTTATTTTTGAATAACTTCTAGCTGTGGGTCTGTAGGAATGACCATTGGATCCAAGCCTAATGGGTATGGGTATAGGTATGGATACTGTATTACTGAACCATACCCACACCTGCCTAAATGTTTGTATTTCATAAAGAGAAATTGAAATCTTCTCAAATATTTTTTAGTTAATGTTAAAGAATTTCATATGCAGTATTTTATAATTTGGAAATGGATAATCTTTGAATCATTTTGTCATTTAAGTTGAATATTTTAATATATATCAATGCTCTTCTTTATTGGTTTTTCATCATTAGTATTAGTATTATAATTGCATTATGTTTTAGTAGTTTTTAAAACAAATGCATAATGAAATACAACATATAAGTTAACACAACAAATGTGAGTAAAGGGTAGGGGTATATAAATGCCCAACAGGTAAGAGCATGAATATCGAAGTTGTTACCCTTGGAGGTATGGATCTAGGTATTATGTGTCTACTTAATTATGACGTTTTTCAAATCTAGCAAATTTGAAGAACATACTTCTTTGCTTTCATTACTTGCTTTTATCTTTGTTTATTCATTTAGTCACTGTAGTTAAACTCACCAAACTATCCATTTATTAACAGTCAATGTATAGGGAGATTGTTAATTTGTTTCCAAAATTGCAAGACAATGGATCTTTGAATTTCAAGTTTATAGGCATTGTAGCTCCTTTTACACAATCTTTATGCAACCCATCTCTTCTTTGGCTGTTGTAAATGTTTAATCAATCAACAGATAATCCTCTCATTTGACTTTATCATTTAATGCTTTAATCAAAAGTACCTATAGTTCTCACCAACTTAGCCAACTTATTTTTTTGTTGGAACTTGGATTTGACAAAGCTATTCCTCGAGTTGTGTAACCTTTGCCCAATGATAACCCTGTTTGTTCTGTTCTTAATTCTAATTTGTTTAGGAAAGTCATTATAATCATTATATATTTGTTGTTTTCATTTTTGCAGGCAGGGCCAAATGATAATTTGAAAGAGATTGCTGTGAAGATCCTGCAAAATGGAATCTCAACAGTTCCTATTATTCATTCATCTTCTGAAGATGGCTCATTTCCCCAGCTACTACATCTTGCTTCACTTTCAGGAATCCTTAAATGTAAGTTTTTTCCCTGATCTTTTTTTTATATGATTTTTAAGATGTGCTTGATTCTTACCAAATTGGTTTTTCAGGCATTTGCAGGTATTTTAGGAATTGTTCTACTTCATTGCCCATACTTCAACTTCCAATCTGTGCAATCCCTGTGGGCACATGGGTTCCCAAAATTGGGGAGTCAAATTGCCAGCCTCTAGCAATGTTGAGACCAAATGCTTCGCTTACTTCAGCCCTAAACTTATTAGTTCAAGGTGTGATTTCTTTGTTTGACCTTGAACATATTGTACAAAAGGAGTCAACCAAAAGAATAAGAAATTGGTATCCTATTATATATTTGAAGCATTGAACTGATGGTAGTGGTACTGTCTTCACTTGAAGAAGAAGGGTTGGTTTTAGTAATAGATGAATGTTTAGGCTAAATCTAAAGTAAGGATGATCCTTTTTGTGGTTTAGAGAAATGACATTTTCAAGAGGTGTTTGCTTATGCTAACGGAACATTTTGTTCTTTGTTTTGTAGCTCAAGTAAGTTCAGTACCAATAGTTGATGATAGTGACTCGTTACTGGATATATATTGTCGAAGGTTAGTTTTTATCCTTATCGGTACACTTATTGATGCCTTGTTTGAGATAATTGGAATCAATCTATGGTCCAATCATTAAATTGTCCTACCATTTCAATATTTAGAAGCACGCCTAGTTTTCACTTTTCCTCCCCTCCTTGATTTTACAGTGATATAACAGCTTTGGCAAAGGACAGAACTTATACACATATTAATCTTGATGAAATGACTGTTCATCAGGTAAATTTTTTTTCCTCCTAATTAACTTTTGTTGACAATTCACATAGTGAAAATAAAAAAATACAAATATCAGTTCATCTTTTCTGGTTAGGTAGTTTTGCTGACTGTATGACACTGGTTGGGTGAGGATGATCTAAAGAATTTTTAGTTATATCAGTCTTTTTCCCTCCTTCTAAAGTTGTGTAATGTCCTTATTTTTTAAACGTTTCTAGTCACAAAAATGATATTTGATCATCTGTTTCATTTGCTTGATTATTGTCTGTCTAAAGAAGATCTAAAGGTTGATGTGTAGCTATTGGTAAGTAAAATCTGACATTGAACTGGATTTTCTTTTTCGAAATAATGATAGTATAGTAATACTATTGATACAAAGGTGAGACATCCTTCTGTTTGGTATTCAAAGTTAATATGCATCAATGACTTAATGTGTACATTATGTAAATAGGTATGCACTTTGCCAATAAAGAGTTACTCTCCCCATTGTTTTTTATTTTTCTACTTAATCCTGTGAACTCCATATGAACTTATCCTTTGCAAGTTGGTAATGTATCCCTTTGTTTGGAACCTGTCATCAAGAATTAGGCAGATGAAGTACAAACACCCGAAATAACAATCTAGGTCAATTGTATTAGTCTGCTTGTAGCGTTTTGGTGGTCAGAATGAGCAGATATAATAGACACCCCAAAAAATCATCTGATATAAAGAGTGAGTTTTAGTTAATGAGGATAAATTAGTAAAGGAGAAAGTGATGAAGGAACTTGTTCTTTAGTGAGGACTTCTCCGTAAACACTTATAAAGAAGAAAATAAGGTAAAATAAGTTGAGTTTCTCCCATGAGCTAAAATAAAATAGGTACACCAGTGTTTGGAGAAGTTAGATGATATAACTTTTGTGTTGAGTGTGCCGTCCACTTCTATGAAATCTTTCTTTATTTCCAATTTTTAATTTTATAGGTTTGGTTCCTAAATTTGCTGATGTAACCCACCCTCACCATTAGCCAACACCTAGTGGTAATATTTTTAGCAGAAGCTAAAAGCTGATTGTTTAAGATGTCAAAATAAAAAGCTGATTGTATAACAGAATGGTCAATATTGTCCTTAATGGCTGATTTGAACTAGGTGAGCTATAGTAGCATGAAACAGGATTAGTGCTATATTTCTTTTGTCCCATTAATTCCTTTTGTAATTTTGGCGGATGTTAATTGTGAAATTAGTAGAAAGAATATGGGAGAAAGCTTCCATTTTGAACTATTATATCAAGATAGTACCGATATCAGTTTATGGTTTACATTGTGTTCCTTGATGTTTATCTGTGTAAAAGTTGGTCTATTTGTCCAGGCGTTGCAATTGGGGCAGGATTTTTACAGTCCTTACGAGGCAAGAAGTCAAAGATGTCAGATGTGCCTGCGAACTGATTCTCTGTATAAAGTGATGGAACGTTTGTCACATCCAGGCACGTTTATTTTCCCTTTTATAGATGAAAGCCGCATTATGTTTTCATTTTTAGTTTAACTAGACTTAAATTTGAAGAATGCTGCACTGGATTCAGGTGTGAGGCGGCTTGTTATTGTGGAAGCTGGTAGCAAGCGGGTTGAAGGCATCATATCACTGAGTGACATATTCAAGTTCTTCCTTGGTTAGTTTGGATTGGTGACCAAACAAGTTTGACAATTAGTGGTGGTCATGACACTTATGCATATAGTCAGGCAACCACCATCGGCCCAGCCGAGGCCACTAAGAAGAGATTCCAGAGCTTTTACACGGTGATTTCATCTTTATTTCATTGAAATACAATTGGTTTGGCCTCTTCCTTCATTGCCTTGTTTTAAGATTTTAGGCTAGAGAAAGAGGCCTGTAAATTTTAGTCTGATTGCCCCAAGTTTATTCATCTCCCCCCAGTCATGTTATGTTCAAATATGTTATGCTCCTGATATAGATACAGTGAAGGGGAGTGCACAATGTCTGTAATCGTTTCGTGTATTGTGAAGATACAAATTCGGGGGGAAAAATTATGGGAGGACCAATATTCGAAATACTATTTTTTGTTGACTAGCTATAGCTTGAGGAATAGCTTTTGTTAACTTGGTCTTTTGTCGAGTGGTGATGGGCAGGTATGTTATGTTTTCCCCCAACCTCGACGACATAAGCGAAAGGTGGATATTCTTTTTTCAATGAAAGAAAAGGGAGAATGAGTGTGTTAATGGATGTAAATGAAAGAAACAGTATGTCAAGTTTTTCGTTCGGAGTAAATTAAGAAATGAAATTTATTCGGTGGCTATATTAGACAACCAGAAACAGAACATATAGCCACATAAAAGGACTGAACACGGAAAACCAAAGACTTTAACTACAGTAGTTACAAAAGTGAAAATAATAAAGGAAAAAACTACCATCTACATGAAGCTGCATCTGTAGGGCAGAAAAGGTAAAGCGTATTTTGTCTTAAATCGAATGTTACACGGAGAGTCTAATAAACAGTCGCAATTAAATAAAATGGTGTATGATTTCAGTTCCAGCATAAAAAAGGCAGGTTAAAAAATGTTAAAAATGATGCCTACCCATACCGAGACAGATTTATTGTAGCTTCACCTACAATGTTCAAATCCATAATTTGCAGTGACACTTGAACTGGGATTCGCAATGTAAAAAGCATCAAGATGGTGAAAAAAAATAATAATATTAAGATTACAATTACAGTGTAGGAATATACACTACGGTTCACATTTGGCAATTGCAGGCATAGAGCTTATGGCGTTTACATGATAACATAATACACATTACGGGTTCTGAATACGACATGCTACATGCTAGTCCCTCACTATGATTTGATCTTTATAAATATGTACACCTGAAAAGAGAATAAGATGTATAATCTTCCCTTTTCCAGCTACAACAATATTAACGGCTGATAAATAGTGTCCCTCCTTCAAATGCTACTATGAAATATCAGTCGCAGTGGAGGTATGTATGTCTCACGAGCCTCCATAGAAATCACGTCAGCAAGAGTTAAACCACCCATATACCCGAGTATTGCAGATTTACAAACAACAAAGGAGGAACAAGTCCGAACTATGTAGGTATGAGTGCCAATATCTGATTTCTTATGATACCCATGCATTTTTGTATCTCACCATATATTGGAAGATTCTTTAAACATAATGGATGCAAACTGGTGACAGCAGAATCAAGTACCTGAGCAACATCAGCTGGGGGAAATTGTCGTTCTGTACATTTCTGCATTTTGTTTTATCAAAAGATATGTTATTAGGATGTACAGGTAAAAAGTCTTGAATCGGACAACTGATTGAATTATGTTTTTAAAAATTTAATTAACATGTAATTACTAATTCTAGTACTCTACACTCTATCTTTTGTCTCACGAGTATATAGATAAAACTGCATTTGAGAATAATGGTCCTATTTAATTGCTTTATGAATAAGAGAAGCTGACTTTACCATTTTTTTTATTGAATAAAGGACGATTTGTTAATTAACAGGCGTGGTAGGTATAAGGTTTAAATTGAATATAAAATTAAAGATAAGTCTGAAATTGCAAGATATTAAAGTAAATTTCAAAGTTGTAAAACAAATGATAACTTCTACCTTCTTTTTCTTTCTTTCTGTGATTCAGAAAACAAACGGAATTAAATTCAATTTAGCTTGTAAAAGTGCACCACAAACCAAGGTATCACCTATAATGTGTCCAGACCAGCTATAGCCAAGCCTCATCTCTATCTGATTTCCTAAAATGTAGCATCATGACATGAACTACTTATTTTTTTAAGCTAAAGCCCAGTTGCGATTTTTACAGGATAATACAAAGTTGTATGCTATACAGCATGAATTTAAATATGGCACTAATAGGTTGATATATGTTAGAAATAAATATTAAATCATTCCTGTTTTTTCACCTAATAGCTTAAGCATTTAGATTAATTGGTTCATGACATGGTATCGCAGCTCTATGACAAGTGATCTAGACTTTGATAATGCTCCCATTCTAAACAAAAGTTTTTTCAACACCAGTTGGGTGTATCTGCATCATTTGCATCTCAAGCCCAAAGGACTCATGCACGAGAGGGGTTCAAATAAACCAAAATAGTACAGGACAAATAATTTTACAACAAAAGTGAGTAAACCTAAGTCATCCTAAATAATGACTAAGCAACTGAAAGTAGTGAAGGGAGATCGACAATGAGAATCCTAACAGTAAAAAAAAAAAAATTTGGGGGATGCGATTTACCTGAATCATAAACAACGTAGCTAGGCAGTGTGATATGAGTTCTGAGGGAATTTTTATTTCATTTTGGTCAGATGAACCGTTGAGTTCAGCATCTTGTCCTTGACAACTAGCTAAGGGATTTAATGCAGTCATTTGATCCTGAGAAGCCAGAGAAAGAGAATCCGCATACAGAAAAGTTGTGGCTGAAGCAGTAGGTTCGTCCACTGAAAGCTGGTTATTGATGAAATTTATTGCATCCTCAATTCTTTCAACCTTACTTTCTGTCTTTCTTAAATTTGACATTGCCTGCAATGGTTTTTATGAGAATTTGTAAGCATATCACTAAATTATTGTTAGCCAAAAAATTGAAAATGATATCTTGTGAAAATGTCATGTCATTAATTTATTTAGTTGTAAGGCTCATCAAGGAAGAATGAAGAAAAAAATCTTATTATCAAAGTAAACCTTTAAATAGATCCCTGTCAGCAAGAACATTTTCATGAATATTTTTGCTGAAACTTTACTGCATATTCCCTAAAAGGAGACGTAATCGACCTTTTATAGATGGGGCACAACTGTGACTATAATGTGCAGTGTATGCAAAGTTCATCTTATTTAGAAAACTCGAAGATAACTATTTGGCTTGAACAGCAAAACTCCATAAATAACCGAGTATTAAGTGCTTTGTGTTCTTTAAGTTTGTAACATAATTTCTTCTGAATGTTGCATTTACTAATTAGATGCAATTAGCTGCCTTTTTATACCTGAGAAGCTTGAACCACCATTGTCCGTGCTTTTCTTCTAGAACTTTCAACAATGTCAGCTATATGACTTTGAGATATAGATTCTTGGTTGTGGCAAGCTGAACAATTGGAAGAGCTCGCCTGACCACTCGGATCATCAAAATTAACCATGGGCTTTAATGAGAAAACAGAGGAGCTTGCTGGATATGTGTTGCGTTGCCTCAAGCAAAACAAGGCAGAGGAAACCTGCAGAAGTGAAGTAAAGTCATGCAATTGTAAATTAGTGGAATGAGAAGGTGTAAAGTTGGACAACAATGAAGGTTCATGCCTGTTCATTTGCTTCAGTTAATTGCTTTAGTACTGAAGCATAATTCCTCTTAAAAAGTTCTGAATCCTTTAGTGAGTTGTCTCCATATTTCTGGTTCTCTGATACGCCATCATTCATGTGCTTCAATTCAGATAATACAAGCTCCTAAAAGTTCAAAATCAACAGCTCAAAAATTCTGTTAGAAAGGAATATTTGAAAGAAGGATATTTCCTTTTATCGTAACGGGACAATCGGAAAGAGTGAGATGAATTGGGAGACACCTTTTTGTCTAGAGCACGATTCAACTCTGAAATAGCTAATATGTCAGCTTCTTTTGAATGGACATGTTCAAGAAGGGAAGGTTGAGAACTTGATGCTAGTTGGGCATTACCAATCTCATTGCATACAACTTTCGGTTGTGGTTTGGAGCTCGAAGAAAAACCCTATGAATTAAAGGAAAAAATATAAGACTAGCAAACTGCTCAGGGACCAGTCAGGATAAAAGTATTATTTCCATTTCCCTCTTCTGTTTTTCTCACCAGTCTCTCTAAGAATTCGGAATCTGTTTCTGGATTCCCAACATTAAGCAAGGAGATAGACTTCGACAGTATCTAAGTTGCATCACCCCCAAATATTCAGGGTTAATTTGGCTTATGAGCAATTCAATACAACCATATATTTCCATTTACAGAAACAAAACATGATCCTTCTCTCCAGAATCATTATTGTACTCAATAATGTTTCTTGGATTCTCTTAAATGATCTCCTACGTGATCTTAACTATTCCTCCTACGTGATCTTAATTGATCCTTAACGTGATTTTAAGGGACCCATCTATGTTAGCTTAACTGATCCACTCTTGATCTTAACGGTAGTGTTAGAATATTGGTGGTAGGTAAAGGACTGACTACATTTTGGCTTTGTCCAACCTCAACATCAAGACGTATTATGCCACAGGTCGGTATAAAGCCTGATCTCTCTAGTTGGTTAGAAGGCCTATCCCAATCCAAATCCCAAGCCCAAATAATGTTTTAATTAACACATGACTTACGAGATTCTAAGACGAAAGCCCACAATCATTAAGTGACCGCAAAATACACAAGTGAAATTATCAAGAAGTGAAGAGCACTCTACCCATGACCAAATATGTGGGGTGGTTAACTAACTGTCAAGCCATAATAACTAAAGGCGTGGGGGTTAATAGGAAAGCCTATACATATACATCTAAGCTTCCCATCAAACACAACTAACACATATTGAATGCTCTATCTTTGAGCCCCTAGAACTTTTTGCTTGAATATTTTGGCACCCACCGTAGGACTCGTTGAAACACTTTCCGATGCCTTATTTCACCTTCTTTCTCTTTCTTTACCTAACATTTCCCTCCTTATCAATTTTCCCAAACTCACTCGTGTTTGTTCTAGAACATTGATCCCTCCATGGACTTGCTCAATGTGGTTTTGCCATTTCCCTCCTTATCAAACCCTCCCTCCACAACCTCTCTCCACAATTGCGTCAATTTCAGTAATAGAATTTTACTTGAGATCGACACCCGTTGTAAGGATTTGAGGTCTCTTTAATTAGGCTCCATCACACAAAGAGAGAGATGGAGGGAGAAGAGGCGTGATTGGACAACATGGCTCGATGCCTCGAAACAAACTTGGTGAATACGTTCTTCACTTGCCTTGAATGGTGTTCCTGCATCTATCGCTCCACCGATGACCACAACAACGCTCTTCTCACTCTTTGCAACAACTTTCAAGAGAAGGAATGAAGTTTCTCTCTTCCTGTGAGTCCCAAAACGGGATAAAATCTTCAAGTGCCTCTTTGTTTTTGAGCTCAAGAAGAAGGTGGTGGCATGGCTTTATATTATAATATAATTGTTTTTTCTGATTGGAATATGACATTTGCTTTTTTTAATTGAATATTACCCGTAGCATTAATTACATATGATGTATGATACATGACATAGATACATATAAAGTGCACCGATAGTGCACTGATTTTTTGAATCCTCTGACACAAGCCATTAAAGTGCACTCAAGACCCATTTCATGCACTGATAATGCACTTTATTTTTAATTTTATTTCAATAATTTTTTTTATTACATTAACGTTTAATTTGTCATTTCTTATTTTACTTCTTTTGAAAAAATTGAAGCTACACTTTAAATTAGTATAATTACTTTCTATTTTTATTATTTTTTATTTTCTATATAAAATTAGTTGATGTTTTATTTTTTATTTTATTTTTTAGAAAAAATAATTATTATTTAAAGATTGTGTTTATTTTATCCCAAAGAAAAAAATTCATCTTTGTTTGAATTTGTTGTTAGAAACAATGAATCAATAAAAAAAAAAATTGATATTACATGAAGTAATTGTGAGAGTGTCATCTCCCATACTTTTATAGTCAATTGTAAATATTGTTTACACACTTGGTAACAAGTGTTGCAAGAATGATACATCATCTTGTTAAAAAAATATATATATATTATTGTTTGCACATTTGTTTAAGATGATACTAGAGACATAATTTTGAAGTTATTAGAAGATAAAAATAAAAAATAAAAAAGAAAATAAGATAGACTGTTTTAAAGAATTGAATATCCAAGATCATAATAAAAAAGAAACATTGAAGTCGTTTGCAAGAAGAGAAACAAGGATTTACATAGAAAAATCCATGAATGAAATGTTTAAAGATTGAGAGGTAATAATTCTAGACATTTGTAAATGCTTATATAACAATGTTTTATCATTTAATTTGGTGAGAAGCTCCTTATTTGCTCAAATATTGAAATCTATTGGGAAATATGGAAAAGATTTAAAGTCTCCTACTTATCATGAAGTTAGAGTATCTTATTTGAAAAAGACGGTTGAAAATATTCAAGCTAGTTTGGAGAAATGTAAGATTGAATGAGAATAATAGGGTTGTACTTTGATGTGTGATAGTTGCACATATGAAAAAGGCGGGTCTCTTACCAACTTTTTAGTGAATAATCCAAATGGAACAGTGTTCTTAAAATCTATTGATACTAGGAATGTGATCAAGGATGTCAAGTAAATGTTTGAACAATTAGATTTCATGATAGAAGAAATTGGGGAGAATAATGTTGTGCAAGTTGTGATAAATGGTGTTTCTAATTTTGTGGTAACTAGAAAGATAGGAGAAGAGAACAAAACTATATTGGTCTCTTTGTACAACTCATTTACCTTGATTTAATTCTTGAAGACATTGGTTAGCTCCTATTGCAAATGCCAAAAAGTCACAACTTTCATATATAGGCACACATGAGTTCTAAACTTGTATAGAAAGCATTCTAAAGGAAAGGAATTAGCTCAGCCAGCAGTCACAAGATTTGCAATTGCATCTCACACCTACAATGGTTAGCATAACAAAAGAATGCTCTTCGATATATGTTTGTCTCACATGAATGGACAACTAGTAATCATGCTAGTAAAGGTGAAGGTAAACAAGTAGTGAACATTGTTTTATGTGATAATAGATTTTGGAAATCCATCCAATATTACTTTAAGTGTGTGACTCCGCTTGTGAAAGTATTAAAGATTGTAGATGGACACTCAAAACTTTCCATGTCATATATTTACTAAGCTATGGATAGAGTTAAAGAGCAAATAGCTATGAATTTCAAGAATCAAGATTCTCAATATAAAAAAGTGTAGAAGATAATTGATATTCATTGGAATTTGCAATTACATAAGCCTCTATGATGCTGCTTACTACCTTAATCCCAAGTAAGTATCTATAATACTATACTTTCTTAGATTACAATTTCATAAAATTCTTGTATACTTATTTTTTAGTTTTATCAGATTTCATTATGACAAAAACTTCAATGCAGATGGTGACGTTTTATATTGTTTTGTATGAGACTATTGAAAAAATAATCCAAGATAGAAGGATTAGATTTCAACTTGATAGATTTAAGAAAATCCAAGCATTGCTTAGAAGAAGTATGACAATAAGTCACTAGGGAAAAGAAGCAACGTGGTATAACTTATTTTTTTGTCTTTCAAGATTTCATTAAAAGCATAATTTTACAGTTATAAATGTTGGTTTTTAATTTGAAATTGCAGTTCTTTAGTGAGAAAGTTATGGTGGATTGGGTAAAAAATTACAAAATCTAGCAATTAGGATTTTGAGTCACACTTGTAGTGCTACTGAATGAGAAAGAAATTAAAGCATATTTGATCAAGTGCATACTAAAAGAAAAAATTGCTTAGACCAGCAAAGATTAAATGTGTTGTCTTTGTTAAATATAATCTTCAACATAAGATGAAGTAAAAGATTAGAGAGGAGAAAGGGATACATATGATCCTATATGTCTATCTAATATTGAATGAAATGATACGTGGATTACTGAAAAAGAGGATCCTTTCTTACCAAATAATGTTTCATAGATGAATATACATAAATCTTTTACTCTTTTACTCTTGAAAAGGGGTATTTGTTTAAACAGTAAAACTTATGCAATTTAATTAATCATAAATACTATAATACTTATAAAGTTTTTTTCCTTAATAGGTTTAAGAAATTTAACTACTAAGATTGACAAAAAGGGAAAATCTACCATAAGAATAGATGATAATGAAATTCAAGAAATGGTCGAAGAGATTGAGGAAGAGGATGAAGATGAGTTACAAGAAAATGTTATAATAGGAGAAGAAGATGATCTAAGTGCCCAGAAATGATGAATGAAAACATAAGATTAATATGTAAGATTTAAGTAATATTTACAATTATGTTTTGGTTTTATGGATGAAATATTTTGACGTAATTCTAACATATGATATTTATAACTTTTTAAATTTATTTTTAGTTAAAAATATCATATTTTATTTATCCTGTATCTTACTATTCTTAATAAAATTCGATTCAAATCTCAATTATGGGATGGTGTAGGACCAACTACTTTTAAGCTTCGTCTAGTCTCCACATCTTTGACTTAAGGCTGAAGGACGTGTAGTATTATGTCAAACGTCGATATAAAGATTGACCTCTTTAGTTGGTCAGAAGGTCAATCTCAATCCCAAATAATGTTTTAAGTAATACGTGACCTATAAGATCCTAAGACTAAATCCCATGATCAAGTGATCGTAAAATACGTTTGCAACTAAGACAAGTTATCATAACGTAAAGAACACTCTCCCCATGACCAATCAAGTGGGACAGTTAACTGTCTATAACTAGAGAAGGGGGCCGGGGGGTTATCAGGTAAGCCTGTAAATATACATTCAAGCTTTCCATCAAAGACAATGAATGCTCTAGCTTTGAGCCCCCCAAACTTTTTGCTATATCAATTCCATCCAAAAGCTTCAGAATATGATAAACAAAAGTCCTATCCTTTTCACCACCAACATTTTCTTGTTTGACTGATTGACACACAAACATGTTAAAAGAACTTTAAGTCCACCGGAGTTAAGGAATCAAAATGTATGAACAATAATATCATAAGCAACAAAAATTAAATCATAAAAATATTAGAAAATATCTTTCATGAAAAGCATTGAGAACAAAAGAGAAGAAAATGAACATTTGCCAATTGTTTTGTGATAAATATTAAGCTCAGAGGCAGAGAACCTTGTTCATCAACAAAACCAAGTCAACTGCCTTCAATTTTTATATTCCTTTAAAATCTTGTACCGTACACGATCTTTTAAAAAAATTATTGTATTATTAATTTTATTTTTCTTGCCCTACTTTATATAATGATGTTTTTTAATGGTCTAGCTCGGCCATTGATAATTGAACTAATGTGCAATTTACACCTTCAAGGATTTGAAACAATCAAATTATAATCATAAAACAGAATTAAATTTCATCTCAAAATAAATTTGTACCTGTTTTGATAAAGTACTGGTTCCTCCGTGCCTAGTGGGGGATATTTGAAGACTTTTTATAGTATCAGAGTTCTCACTACGGGACAATATTGTGTGCCCAGCAATCTTTCTCTGTTTAAGTTTTCCATTAGGCTTGAGCTCAACGAAGTTTTCGTTTATTTGAGCAGATGAGCTATTGTGTTGAATCAGAGATGTAGGCATATTTTCAAGTGGATACAAAGGCATGCAGTCTATATCCTGTGATACAAAAAGGTGACAAGTTATGCTATTAATAGAGAAAACTGTGAAGTGTTCAAACCATCTTAGGACATGAATGAAGTAACATGATGAAAAGTAAGGTGAGAAGAGCAATGCAAATATTCAAATACTAAAGTTCAATAAAATTTGTTCAGATTCTTTATCAATATAACAATTATTACTAGGGATTTTAAAATCAGGATCCTACTCAATTTTTTTTCAGGGATCACAGCACCAGATAATAGGATTTCATTGAGGATTGTAAGATCCTAAGATCTATGATAAATAAAAAGATATATACTGTTAATTCAATGTATATTGAAGAAACAATAATTTTAAGCACAAGAGAAGGATAGTATAAAATTTGACATTATAAAATATATTTATTTGGTAGAATAGCACACAACCTATGAAGCACAGATGTGAGACAGGAAAAGACAAATATGATATATGAAACCTATCCACAGTATCCAATTGAGTTTTAACTACAATAACAACAATTTCAGCAGCCCAATGACTACGTTTCCTCATTCCTGCCATATCATTTGTTAAAATAGAAGAAAACATACCATGACAAATTCAACCCCAAGCTCAGGCTGGTCAAACTGAACCCCATACCTACAATGGTCAACAGTTAGTACACTTCCATCATGAATCTCTCTTGTCTTTGGATGAATAGCAATAACACGCTGCCCAACAATTAAAGGTTGGGCCAAATCAGTAGGAAGTCCTTCCTTGGTACCAGCAAGAATTTCAGCATAATGTGATCTAACAGACTCCCGGTATTCATGAAGTTTATGCTTTTCTTCTGTCAAAAATTGCTCTGAAAATCTTCTTGGTCTGCCAAGAGAACTGCATAAGAGTGGTATACAGATGAAGTAGTTTATCCAAGACCAACTCAACCCAAATCACAAGAGAATTAGAAGAATGTAGGGGGAAAAGATTAAACTCATGACCCCTTGATCATGAAAGCCTATAGTAACATGTCACTAACAAACTAAACCTGAAAACTTAAGCCATCAAGTGGAGGTCTATGAATGATTTAATAGATCTAATAGGCTTGGATGCACTAGGCTACACAGCTAAAGTAAGTGCTCATCCAATAAGCTCATAAAATATGAGAACTTACATCATAAATTTAACCATGAAATTTGTTGAAATGATCTAAAAAGTGCTTATATTGATAAGCTTCGCCAAAAAGTCCACTGAAACAAGCTAATATGAGTCATAAGTTATTTTAATAAATAAACCCCAACAAACTTGTAGAAGCTTTTCCAAAAATCCACTTAAACATGAATGCAACATGATAGTTTAGAATGAAGTAAAAATTTAAGCATTTCAAATTAAATACCTTCTAATGACGCCCCACTCGATACGAGTCAATCTAGGAACATGACCCAATCCAACATGGTCTAAGTACTCCACAAACTCTCTCTTTGAAAACCATGGGTAATCAATAGCACTATAAAACCACTCAAAAGTGCACCATCGCCGCATTTGATACGAAGATAGGCAATTGATAAGCTTTCCCTATAATAACAAAAGTAAAATTATTCTTCCTAATATAGATAAAAAAAATTAGATTAATGCCACTCAGTACAAATGACAGATTACAAACCTTTTGACTAGAAGAGCCACCTGGGAGTGAGGCAATGGGTTTGTTCTGTTGACTGCTAAAAGAATTACTAGACACCACCAAATCTTGTGCCATATGTTTTGGCTTTTCCATTTTTCTTCTTGGCCTTCCTCTGTTTAATGGACTGACTTGGTTAGTTGATGAAACCTTCATGGGAGAAAAAGATGAATCATCCCTTTCCCTTTTTTCATTAGTGCTTCCCGGTGATTTCACCACTTTTAGTTGTCTTGAATGTGCTGTAAAAACAGATGTCCGTTTACCTTTAACCATGGATTTCTTCACCTCATCAGTAGCCTAAAATGAAGAAAATATTTGGACACTCTAAGTAGGCACAAGAAAATATAGTAATATACAAAACAAGATCTAGTGCAATTAGTACAAGAGATACTTTTTGGCAAAGCACGAAAGCATCATAGATTTATGGGAAGCAAACAATATAGAAAAGAAAATTAGAAACATACTAAAATGTTGTGAATATTACTTTATTATCTTTTATTTAAAGTAGGTATTTAGAGATTATCATTATTGTTTAGAATAAGAAAAAAAATATTAGGTTATTATTTTGATTTGGGTAGTTATGATTGGGATATTGTTAATATTTGATATTTTGTCATATTTTTACTCTATATATAGAGTATACAAGTGCATGAATAAAAAGTTGAAGATATACCCATATGAGATATATTTCATTTATAAAAAAAATATACATATACAAAAATACTAAAAATTCTCACAAGTGGTATCAATAGCTTTGGTTCTTACGAGAAGAATGAAAGGAGAAGGAAGTTTTTTACAAATTGTTATTCCACTTTTTTATGGTGAAAATGTAATCCTTTCTTGAAGGACTAGATTTATGGGAAGAAGAGGAATATATTATTGATCCGCTACCTGGAAATCTCACAATGACCCAAATCAAAATTCAGAAAAAAAGAAAAATGAGGAAGACAAAAGCAAAGTCAAGTTTGTATGTAAATATTTCATAAATGATTCTCATCAGAATTATAACCCTAAAGTCACCAAAAGAAAATTGAGATTATTTGAAATAAAAATATGAAGTACCCACAAAGAAGGGTAGCAAAGCCCTGAAGGGGAAAACCCCAACAACCAACATGATTATTGGAAAACAAACAACAATTGTTTGAGAAAGAATTGCTAGATATGTAGGAAATATTACAACAAATGTGCCTTGAGGAGAAAAAGACCGAAGAGTGTTTGAAGGCCAAAGACAAGGCTCTCAAACAAAGGACAAAGAATTTGAAAAACGTGATCGTGAAATAGATAAGCTTAAGGCTGAACTAAAAAAACTGAAAGAGTTTAAACATACAATGAATTATCTGTGTAGAAAGACAATGAAATAAAGAACAAGGAATGTTCTGAAAATAAAATATCTTCTTCACATTACATTTTGTGGATGAGAGACAAATGGAATGAGATCAAGAAAGCAAATTCCAACATGTTAGCGATTAAATGAAAGACTAACAATGTAGAAAAGAAGAAGCTTTATGAGAAAAAATATCATGATGAGAAAAAAGTTTGTTTGCAAGTAATTGCAAGGGAAAAATTTAAGAATGAAGCAACAAAATTGAATGAAGTGATGATCATATACAAGAAAAAGGATGACAGGGATTACAAATAGAAGAAGAGGAAGAAAGCAATACAAGAAATGAAAAATAAATTCAAATAAATAGATATTAAAACAAGGAGGAATGTTGATAATATTATTTTATTATCTTTTATTTAAAGTAGTTATTAAGAGCTTTTTATTATCATTTAGAATAAGAGAAAAAAATATTAGATTATTATTTTGATTTAGATATTTATGATTGAGATATTGTTAATATTTGATATTTTGTCATATTTTTACTCTATATATATAGAGTATACAAGTACATGAATAACAATACACATGAGAGATAAACTTCGTCACATCGTATATAAAAAATACAATACACAAAAACCCTAAAAAATTTCATCATAAAAGTCAAAATAGAAAGGATCGCAATTAGATACATTTATAATAGAATGCAACATATGAAATATGGTAGAGATGTAATATAACTATTGATGAGCCTTCATCTTACCACTTAAGCTTTTTTGGAAAAGGCGTATGAATGGTTTTATATATAACACGTACCCTAACACAAGTCTTATAAAAGCTTAAGTTGTTATATAAAGGCTCATTAATAGTTGTATAGTTTTATTATATCTCAAACAATAAGCATATGTAGAAGTTTTAATGTTTAAAGCAAATATAATGAGTTGGGGAAGGCAAATTCGTGCATGTATATCATGCTAGAGAAAAAGATAAATACTTAAATGAGGTATCTAGGATTCAGTTTGCAATATTGAGTTGTAACCATCTTTTGAAATAGTAGAGGAAGAGCCAAAGATCGAAGAAGTTATTGTGAAATCATACATCTAAAATTAGTTTTCTTTTTATATGTTTACCACTGATAAGTGCAAAACAGTAAATGATAAATGCATTAGTTGTGAACATTATCATAAAATATCTAAGATAAAGTGAGAAGAGAATTAGTCATCAACTACGACTGGATTGTACGCAGTAACACAAATGCAAAAAGCCAGCATATATAAATACCCATAAATTGGCTATAATACACATTCAACCCTTAAATTTTGACTTAATCTTCAAATTGCCTACTTATTGTAATTTGACCTTTACATGCCAAATGTTTTCAATTGGTTAAATTTCAATTGGAATTACCACAATCCAGACAGACATCCCATCACATATTACAAGCAAAATTATTATTTTCCATCCAAAATTAACAGTCTGAACATACACCCAATTTAAAAAAGAACAAAATAAGGTTTGGGAACTAAATTATATATCATTCTGGCTTTAATAATCAATAATTGCATACCCTGGTTTTCTGGGAACTTAAATGAGAACCAGGATGAGTTTCATCGTTCTGCAACAAACAAAATACATCATACTTGCATGAAATAAGCCAATCACAGAAAATATTAAACTAGGAACCATAGAATTGAATACTGGAAAATAAACAATTTACTTTCAAGTTAAAAGATTTTTGTTTCCTCTTCCTGAATCCTGCGCTAAGCTGGAGTGTTCCCTCTGCTTCAGGTACGGCAGCTCCATTGTCAACAAAAACCTTGGAAAGCTTACTTGAAGCAGTGCTTTCAATCTTAGGATATACTTTATGTGTTTCCATTTTACATTCATCAACAGCATCATGGTTCCCTCCCTTGAACTGTGCAGATGACTCTGAGTCAAAGAAAACAGTACAGAAAAGATTTAAAAAATCATAAAGTATCAACAAAAAAGGATTTTCCATAAAATAAATACATATTTTCTTTTTCAGTGGAAGAAACTCAATAAATACTTATGGTGACCCCTCCTTTGGTTTGTCTGTGAAAGTAATTAGAGAGTAGGTTAGTTGGTCAAAGAAATAAGACGTCTTGCTTATACAGATACGGATTGGGGTAGATCTCCTAGTGATCACCGATCAAACAAAGAATATTGTATTCTGATTGGAGGAAATATTATTTTTTGTAAAAATACGAAGCAAGGTGTTGTTGTTAGATCTAGTGTGAAAGCTAGATGTTGATCTATGGTCATTATCACACGTGAACTTATCTTCTTCAAACAACTCCTCAGAGGGCTCAAGTTTTTGCATAATTGAGCCAGTGAAACTCATTTGTAATAACCAAACAGCTCGACATATAGCGTCTAATCCAATATCTGATGAATTAACTAAACCCAATAATAGATTATCACTTTATCCATGAGCAAATAATTTCCAGGGAAATCATTGCTTAATTTGTAAGGTCCAACAATCAGCTGACAAATATATTCACCAAGTTTCTCAAAGTTAAAAAATATTTGCTATATATGTACCAAGCTGGAAGCAAATGATTATATACTTCAGCTTGAGGGAGGTGTTTAGACACGATCCTTGTAATTTCTCATATTATTTTGTACAGTTCTAATTTACATCTATATTATTTCCCCCAAGCAATTCAAGTCCTTAAGTTTGCCTAATGCACGAATGGCAGAACCCACCAAGTTTCAGTTTCCAACGTTTCATGGAAATGGGTACCAGCAATAGAAAGTGTGAGCAATATTTCGTACTGGAGGAAGAAAACAGATGTGAAAATGAAGTGCTAGGGATCAAATCAAGTGCCAGAAAATAGTCATGGTGTCAAAGAAGAGCTAAATTGGTGAATGAACCTAGAAAAAATAAAGAACGGCAACAAAATAAGAACCACAAGTGGAATAGATCAATGGGTTGGGAAAAGGGGCCAAAAAGAAGGGGCCGAGTTGGAATAACATAAAGAGTGCGCAATTTCTTATCTGATGGACCAAGCCCAAAGGAGTACGGTGAAGAAGGAAATAATTTGCTGCAAACCAAGAATTAGAAATACAAAAGAAAAGAGAGGCTTTAATGTACATTAAGAAAAGAACAGGGTAAGAGAACAATCCCTCCTGCAAAGGTTTACCCTTCACAAAGAGCTAATGCTCGATTTACAAACATAATCATTTCTTCTTACATCCTCCTACTTATTTAACACATTAACCCGTTAACTAACTAATCAATATCCTAACTGTCTTAACTGAATCCAATTTCCCACAGTCCTAGAATAATTTCTTTTCAGAGTTAATGGCTCCAGCCGAATACAATAAAATTTGAAATGGAAAACAAGAAAATTGAATTGTCCCCATGTCCTCATAGGCCAGACCCTGCACACTAAGGTGGATGACCTTGATAACCTACAACAAGAAACACTAAGTTTCGCAGCCAAATATGCCTCATAAATGGAGCATTAGAGAAGAATGGGTGCATTCACAAACTTGATTGACACAGGAGGACTGACAGTTAATTTTGGGCTGCTGTGGTCTTGTTATTTGGCTAATCAATTGAAACTTCAGAGGGACTTTATTTCAGATTTTCAGTTTCCACAAGCTTTTGCATATTGTTAAGTATCAACGTGTTTCTGTTTGCACCCTACATCTTTCCTTCTCTTAGTTTCTGTTTAGTTTTTTTCAGCTTTTCTGTTTTTAGGCTTGTTCTGATCTCTTTATAAGAGACAGATGTACATCCTTGTAAATAAGTGTCATTAATACAATTCTTCATTTTTCTTAGTCAGCTCATGTGTATTTGTTTTGTTAACACGTTTCTAATTAATGCTTGTATTTTGATCTAGTTTAGCACTTACCATTTCCTGCCTCTCGTAGCACCACTTCACAGTGTGTATATGATGATCCCAAAAACCCAATATGAGATCATAGCAGGTTAATCCCGCTCTGCTTCCAATGGTTTTCTCTCTTTGTTTTTCATTAAAGTCTTCTTTTCCTTTTCCTCTTCTTGTTCTTCTGGATTTTTCTTTCTTTTCTTGATGGAAACAGATTTAAACTGTTGGAATCATTAATTAGTTGTTGGAATGATTAATCAGTTGTACCTATCTTTGTACCCAAGTTTCTACTTCACAATTCTGTCCCTCGATCTTCCATCTTCTCAGTGTATATGTTCTTATCGTTATAATCATGTTAGAGGTGTGATCAAGCTCTCTAAAACCTATTTTCTCTTTTTTATTATATCTTAAATTGGTATCAGAGCTAAAGCTAACTTCTCTCTGATTGTTGTCTTGGGTCAAGAGTTACCCTTTCGTTGTGGGTCAAAAATACCCTTTGCTTAGTCTGGCAGATTTCGTTGTAGAGGGCGTGTTAGAAGTCTCACATCACCTGCCTCATGTCATATGGTATAGTTTAAACACTTGTTAGGTTACTCTACATATTTCCAATTGGTTTTATATTGGAACCTTAACATATTATAGTCATCTCCGACCGCCCACCGCCCTCTGTCGCCGGACCTAGTACCCCTTCCATATAGAAAAAAAAAACAATGAGATTTCGTTGGGTTTATGCTATTAAAGTTGGATCAAATAGTGAAGTCAATCGTCTCAAAACACGCTTAGTTATTAAAGGATACACTCAACTTTATGGGCTTGATTATAGCGATATTTTTTCTCCAGTGGCCAAAATGACTATTATTCGTTTAGTTTTTGTCATAGTAGCTATTCATCATTGGCAACCAGTATGATTGATGAAATGATAGCTCCACAACACAACCACCCGTAGTGCCTCATGACCTCTCATGACAAATTTGTAGTTTAATGTTATATTTATATTATCCTAAGGCCAGTGCAACAAATTCTTGCCCAATGCAGTCTTGATTGCCTAAAACTTCGATTGGTCAGGGAACCATGTGAAGTTGAAGAACCATTCACCATGCACTCAATGATGCTCTATATGCCTAAATGCTGAGAACCAAATCCACCGACTTACACCTCTTAAGCTAAAGCTTCCAATATTTAACAGACCCACTCCACACTAGAATTACCTCATGGTTATGCTCAAATGTCAGGGTGGTGACTCACCTGCATCTAAACTTATAAATGGGAAACCTCCCACACCACCAGATACTCTCTTACCAAACATTTTTCTTTTGTTGAAATACATACTAATATGGCGCTGAAGTGTCTTTCCATGTACCTCCCATATTTACCTATTCTCCATCGACTAGCATCTCCACCTTCTTCACTTACCTAATGTGAATCCAATAAAAGCTCAATGATTTCACTATTAAGCATTATGTTCAACGTTTATGCATAAAATAGTGCATCCCAGTAAAGGAAGCAACCATGATGAAATCACAAAGGAAAGGCCATTAAGAGATTAATAACACAACTAGGAAAAAGACATACTTAAAAGCACAATCATTATAGATAAGATTATGGATCCAAGTAATACTAAAATTGAGCCTGGGTTGTGTCACACAACTTGTGGTTTTCTTTCAGTTTATGGCTTGTAGTTTGAGGGCAAACAACCATTACTTGGCTACAATCATTTATCCTGTATTTCCTTCTAATTTTAACTAGTAATGATTCTCCTTTGTTAGTATATTGTTTACCATCAATTCCTTTTCAAGCATTCAGATTATTATGCACATCTAGAATTTATAGTTATATAACTTTAGTTAGTATGTCTCTTAAACAGAGGACTCAAATTGTAAATGTGGAGACTGCTTTAGCCTTACAACACAAATTCTTTTGTCCTTGGAACATAAAATTACGTGATGGATTATAGTTCCATTGTAATATCATTGAGTAAATGAATGGTTATGTCACCCAATGAGGTGTAAAAAAGGATGGACATTGGTGCATATAACCACACAAGCATTCATTTGAGATAGTACTTGCAGAGATAGAATATGAATTTGATGTGTTCAGACCACAATGAAGCTATTCAATTTATAGGGGAGATAACATAATTACAAAATAATCAGTTTTCTTATTTTAGACTAATAGCAAAAATATAAAATAAATCTAATTGATTCTAATATCATATCTATAGGATTTTAACATATTTAAAAGATTCTAACATTCCCCTCCAAGTTGGATCATATAAGTCATATGCATCAAGCTTGTAACATATGTAGTTAATTTGAGAACCCCTAAGTGACTTAGTAAACATATCTCCTAGTTGATCATGGGAAATAGCAAAGCTAGTAGTTATCTCCCGGGACATGACTTTCTTTCTAACAAAGTACCAATCAACTACAATATAGTTCTTTCATGAAATACTAGATTTGTGGCAATATGCATGGTGTCCTAATTAGTCATCTAAGTAATAATAGTGTAACCTCCCTAAACTTTAGTTCCTGAAGCAACTGTTTCAGCCATTTAAGCCTGACTGACTACAGTCATAGCTTGAAACTCTGCCTCTGCACTGGACATGATTACAACATTTTACTTCTTGCTTTGCCAAGAGACAAGCTTATCTCTGACAAATATACAAAACCCAATGGTGGACCTTCTATCAATGGGGGAGTCTGCCGAATGTGCATTAGAATACCCCACAACTCAAGTGTGTCCTTTGTCCTCATACAATCTAAATTGATGCTAATATCATATCTAAAGGACTCTAACATATCTAAAATATTCTAACAGCAACCCTTGCAATGTTATTGTTTATTCAGATTGATCTATGGGAGATGGGAGAACAAAACATTTAAATAATTTTTAACATGAATATTTTATAAATAAAATTTAAATGTCTTACCAGTGTCGAGGTTTGTTACTGGCAGCATCAAAGACAGATCAGCCAAAGTTTTCAAAGCATCAAAAGCAGAACCTTCATCTACAAAGAGAGAAATAAGGGGAAAGGGAGTGGTGGATGACAACGTGAACAAAAATTGTACTATAAGTTGGAATAACAGGAAAATATTTGAACCCAGGGAAAGTGGTCGTCAGGGGAAAAGAGTACAAGACAAACCAATACCAATTACAAAATTAAAGTGGAATGTATAAATATTATCATAAAAAATAATTTCCAGGTCTAACGAGCATATAACAATTTTAATCTTTAAGAGAATAAAGAGCTAGCGATTGCATCATGTAAACATCTAATTCAATTAATCTATCTTGAATCCTATTCACTTATGAAAAGCAAACGGAAATAAATACACAAGTTTCTTTTCCTTTTCCTGTCCTAACATCACTAAGTAGGCAAGTACCACAACTCTATTGCACCAAATCGCGAAAACCCTTTGCCAGCTAAAAAGCCTTTTAGTAATAAAAATCACTTTATGATGAAACCTTAAAATAAAATCTTAGCCCTGTTAATGCTTTTTGTGCATGTCAACATTTTAAGGACAAAACAAAATTTAGCTTCCATTCCAGAAAAAGTATTATAAAACAAATTGGAAGATAAAAAAATAAAATAAAATAAAAAATTAAAAGAAGATATACCCAAAAAGCCAAAGAGCCATATGATAATTTGAACATCATTTTAAAAGGAACATGTGTGCTTTTTATTTATAAGAAAAAACAGCAACATATTCTGGAGAATGAGCTCCTTCTTTCAGTATGAAATACAGTATGCCATACCTAATAACAAAAATACCTAATACCAATCAAGTTTTTCAATCCTTTTATACCACATTTGTTTATTAAAAAATTAAGCTAACCCCATAGATTCAGTTAGAAATAGCTAGCCATGTAAAGATATCATTTATAACAAGGACATCCAACCTAACGAGGAATGGGAATTAAAGCAATTACCAAATACCTTTGTCTAACAGTGGCTTTTTACTTTTCGTCCTGGAACCCTTGTAAGAGGGCCTTGCATTTTTTGCATCTTCGAAATCAGTGTTCAAGCTGGATTTGGTAAAAATTTTACCATCATCTGTCCCACTGGAGGCTTCCTTTATGTCATTCAAATGCTTGTTTAAATTCTCCTCTGGGTCTAAATTCTTCCCATATTGTTTTATTTTCTTTTCTTGATTCCTTCCCTTTCCTGTAAGTTCTCTACCACTCTGATGAGTTGTTTTTCTAGAGTAGTCTTCATTATTACCTTCAGTGCTTCCTAAACTCAACTCAGAACTACCATCATCCAACTCAGAACTGCAGAACTTGGCTCCAGCTATTTCTGATTTGGAATGCTGAAAATAGTAAGTACCTAGAATTAGTATTCATTATAAGAAAAGAACAGAAAAAGACAACGGATGGTTAATAATTTGTTACCTTCTTCCCACTTTTCAGACCTGGTGAAGACAAAAATTTCTTGTCTGGTGATTCAGTATTTTTCGAAGAGCCACCTCTTTGTGAAGCTTCAGTCAATGCTAATGCAATCTTATGAGCAACATCATTAGTATCAACCATTTGTTTGGAGCCCTGCCTGGCAGACGAAAAGAACCTCTCCCCATTATCTTTACCAATAGAATATGAAATAGGGACTCGGGGAGTCCTTTTTCTAACAGCATGTGGCCTAATTCCTGAAACAAAATCACAAACAACCAAGGTTATCAAACTCTCGAGTCAACTCGCTGACTCTTACGAGTTAACGAGTCAAATAACCAGATACGAGTTAACTCGTGAGTAAACTCTTTTTTGAGTAGACTCTGAGTCAAACTCGGTAAACTCGGTAGACTTTAAGTAAACTCTCGAGTTAGAGGCGAGTCACCGAGTTTGAAGAAAAAGAAATACTTAAATCATTTTTTACTCTCCTCATTTTTTTTCATAAGTTCAGATCTCGCTCCTTCCCACTATCCATCGTTGCTTATCATTGTCGTGGTCGTCGTCGTGTGTTTGTCCTTGGTCGCGCAGTGGTGACGCGACGCTCGCTTGGTCGCGCACGTTCACCTGGGTCACGTGGTGGTCGCACGACATTCACTTGGGGTCGTGCGGTGGTCACGTTCCTTATCGTTGCGCACCGTCCTCTAGGTTAGATTGACGAATTGAGGGGTTTGTGATTTTAGGGTATTTAAATAGATAAAACAAGTTAGATTGAGAGATTAAAGGATTTGGGATTTTAGATGGAGAGATTTTAGATATTTAATATTTTTTAATTATTTTTTTAATTTTGATTATACTATTGTACAAATTCAATTAAGTTTTTATTTTGATTATTTTAATAATGAGGAATTAATATTATTATATTTATTATTAAATTGGTATTTTTCATATAAAGTAAACTCTTACGAGTCTACGAGTCGAATTTATCGATCTCTCACGAGTTTACGTAGACTCTCGAGTCTAATAACCTTGCAAACAACTAGTAGGTTTTATTTAAGCAAGAGAAAATATCTCTTTGAAATATACAAAACAAAATATCACATCTTCAAAGACAAGCAGCCTAACATGTTGAGAATATGAGGAAATATCTTCAAAATTTATCAATCTTCTTGTAACAATTAATGATTGAAAAACCAAAAAAAAAATGAAGAAGTAGGTAAGAAATTCGATGCCAAGGCAATGTTCACATGTATATTGATATATTAACTCACCAGAATGTCTCTTCTTCAACAATGACAGGCAACCATCACCTGATGCAACAGAATGTGACTGAGAATGATCTGAAAAGTGCCCATCTAATGCTTTACTGTCACTTAGATGCTTTCCCCGCAAACGCTTTTGAGACTTTTTAGATATTTCTGCATCATCATTGCTTTCTTTACCACTGTCACTTCCTCCCTGACAATTAAATTATTTCATATTTTAATTGCTTATGAACAATTGTTAAAAACTGACCGTGTTGTCTATGGCAATTTATGCAACATTTATAATATAACCTAAAATGTCGCCCCATATCAATAGAAGGAAAATTGGTTTTTCTTTGATTGACTTATTTGCATAAGTGGGGGAGGCAAGGATTCCAGAACAATAAACAAACTATTTCCTCCTAAATCCAGTTTTAGATGGGCAAAGCTAACTAACACTCTTGGTAGAATAGCAATCAGTTCATGTACCATACGTTAAATGAATTCATGGGGTCTTATGTTAAATGCATTTAGTTTTCATAGAATTTAGCATTTAGAAAGTAGCACCCATTTACTCTTTGCCTACGGCATACTTCCCACTTTGTCTATTAAGGATCTATATGTATATAGACAAATAGATGCTCTGCATAAGTAGTGTACAACCAATGAACGTCACTTGAGAAATTCCACCCTATTACTCTTGCCCCCACTCTGTTTCTCTTTCCCTCTTAATTCAATACCTCTGTCACAATTGACAATAAAAAATCTTTTTAAAATCAAAATCACCTATCAAATAAATAAAAAAATTCTTAGTCTATTGGTCAGAACACTGTGCCAGGCAACCTAAATTATCTATATCCTTTTCAGTTCAAGTAAACTAGAAAACCATGGTTTTCTATTTACTCATTGACATATATGTGCATGTATTTATATTGACAGAAAAGTGACACCTTAGATTTCATTTATAACCAAGTCAAATGACACTGTAGAGTACTAAAATTTCAATCATAATGTACCTATCATGACAGAGGTTAAAAGCAAACCTTTCAATGAAAAAGAAACAGTGCTTAAAACAATATGCAGAGAGACTACTCTTGAAAACATACAGTTTCTTCTCATCACACAACTTATGAAAAAGATTTGTAATGAGGTGTAACTTTAATATGACAGCTACCACAAGAATGTTACAAAATAAAAAAAACCAATGTAAATGCTCAGTAAAACTTGACCAAAGTTTTAACTCAACTCTTACCAGTACACTATAATGGTCTGTCATCATTGCTATCAGTCCAACTACAGAAGCAGTACCCTCTGGAAGAGATAAATATGCCTAAAAAAAAAACAAACCAAAGATTAGTCTAAAAAACTGGATTTGAATCTAGCTCAACCTTATAAAATCAACTTGTAAAATGAAGTTCACACCCACTCATATTTATTAAAAATCATAACATAAGATGTAAATTTTTGTTTGGAGGGGGAGGTTGGGTGTGGAAACCAGAAATAACAAAGCTGGGGGTGGGGTATTATATGTATTCACTGCAGTGATTAATCACAACTGGCTCACAAGGAAGGAGACACGATCAATAAATAAGAAATGAATCTTTAACTGATTGCTTGAATATTTAAAACGGACATTCATTAAAATATTTGACAATTTTTTCAGGAAAACATCAAGATTCTCTCTTTTCTGTCTCTTTTCTTGATCTTCAAATAGATATTTAAGGAGATAAGAAAACATTCACTTGTTCAGAACAGAAATTATGGAGACTAGAAAATCTTGCTTTTATTGAAGATAAAAAACAACTTAATTAAGGTTAATAAAAAATACAGGAAATATTAAAAGAAATTACAAAGTACACCCTGAGTACATATATACATGAATGTTTAGTCAGTATGTGTTTTAGCATCTAAATTTTTTTATGTAATCAGTGAATCTGTGATGTATGCATTTCAGAAATAGCAGTAAATTAATATGGATGTTGATGCTTGAAATGCATTTACCTTGTTCATAGTATACAGTGCCTCTACCATTTCCACAGATCTATTATTACGTACAGCAAAAGCAACCTGTAAATATAGGTAAAAATGTCACTAAAAAGGACATATTTAGTAATAACATTGCACTGGAAAATTGCAGTGCATAGAACAAGGTAGATTAAATAAGAGACAACCTTGATCCCTCAACATTCAGTGGAGTTTTAAGCAGTATTAACCACATATGTAGCCCATTTATTAGATAAAAACCTGATGCTGAGACTTTATCTTAAACCTTTATTCAATAAGAACCACCTCATGACTAAAAACCAATAACTAACCTTCTTCCAATCTTTCCCATATTTACGGTAAGCTTCGTAGAAATGCTCAAGCTCCTCCTTATTCCATTGTGGCCCTAACATGTCAGCCAATTTTCTCTTCTGCGCATCATTGAAATTTGAAAAAAAAAAAATACTAGTTAAGAAAAAAAAAATCCATAACGCCTGATCATTTGAACCAAACTTTTTAGATTTATTTACTACCCAGGTTTACATTGACAAGATGTAAAAAATATATTAACATATTATAATGACTTCTTGACAAGAGCACTTAGAGACAAAACGAATAACGAGCAAAGGGGAAATTTCTTCCTTGTTTTAATTCAGTAACTGTATTATGTATCTTTTCAAAGAAGTAAATAAACAAATTCACCTTCTGAATACCAGGACTCATCTTCAGCCTATTTTTGCTAGCATTCTCTGCAATTTTGTCTTTACTAGATGCAGTCTCACGAACACTAGAAAACCTCTTATTTACACTTCTAGATTTCCTAGAAGGAGCCATAACAATTTCCTTGATTGCTGAAACGTCAACTCCTTTCCCTCTACAAATAATGTTGATGAAGAATAACAGGTTCAAAACCCAGAAGATGCATCCTGTTAATCAAAAGTAAATAAGCTGAAGGCTTCCAATGAAGAATAAGAATGTTTTACAATTAGGTAGTACGGTAGTAGTGGGTATTTGCAAAAGAAAACAAAAAATCTATTGTGATTGAAGATATAATCCACAGGTTGTACATCTATAGTATAGGGCACCACATGTCCAAACACCACGATCCAAGCTTAATGGCAACGTAAGAATCACTACAAAACATTTGTCCGTACTAGGTCAGGTGGTGGCAGAGTGTATATGAAAAACTACAAGTTGAACATGTTGAACGGAAATTAGACTCTTATACTCAAGAAGACAAAAAAACAGTTAAGACAATAAAAAATGACACTAAATAAAGCAATGATATATTGTTAGCAAAACAAGTTACTATGGTCAGCACGTAGAGAGCAAAATGAATATGGAAATACTCAAAGACTGGAAAGAATATGAATATTGAATGAAGAAAATATTGAAAATGATATATTAAAGATGAACAAAATGATCAAATAACAAGATAGTCCTATCCTTTTATTAGAAACCACACAGACTAGTTAACATCTATAAGGAGGTCCAACTGCTCTTGCCCTCTGCGGAGGGTGCATGCACCATGAGGACCAATAAAGGACAACGAGCTTTAGCCCCTATTTCACCAAACTGTTTTCACTCAGATTTTCTTAGTCCAAATCCCCTCCTCCAAAAAGAAAAGAACATGCAAAATTCGGAGTGCTTAACAGTATCACTGCAAGCATTTGCCAAAACAGTTACAGAATCCTGAAACATCTAGAAAGGAATGCATCTCAAACTCTCTAATCTCAACCATCCCTCGTTTTCAAAACACTTGCATGTATTTGTTTCACTATTCCAATTGAAATCCAGAAACATGCAGCATGCAGACCCAACAGCAACAACAAACAGAAAAACAATATCGAAGCTTGAATTTCACTTCAGCGACAAGGGAATCGAATAGGAGAAGTCTCAGCGAAAACCAAAAAAAAAAAAAAGGAAAAAGCAAAATTACAGCTTCACACTGCAGTTCATCAGCTGAGAAAGAAGACAAACATAAAAGGAAAAACAATCAAAGGCAGGTGCGAGAAAGACGAAGAAATTCAAAATCCACAACTAGAAATGAGGTGATTCAGTTAATTTATCCCTTAGACACACCGAACCCCGCATATGAGTTCAGAAACCCGAAACAAAACGTGGAATTGGAATATTCCACGAAATCCCCCCGCTGATCTAACGAGGTGCGATTGGAATTGGGAATCTGAGGTGTAAGACAGCCCTCGCAAAGAGAAAATCAGTGAAAGCAAGTTTGAAATTAAAAGGAAGTGAAAAGAATTGGAGCAAGAAGGAAGAGGAAGAAGAAGAAGCTCACCGATCAAAGAGAATCTGGATTGCAAATGGAAGCTGCGAGAGAGGGATCTAGTGCCTGTGAAGTAGTCGAAGCACAAATGCTAGGCGAAGAGAAGACGAGAGACGAGGATGATGAACAAACAACTCTCAACTTGTGATGGCGTTGTTGTTGGCGTAAACAAAACAAATGAATTCGGGGGTATAACCGCGAAACTTTAAAATAATAGTACCATAAAGCCAATTTATTCCCCCATTCCCCCAATAAAATTTAAAATGAGAAACGCCCATAAACCGAAACAGAACATCAACTCTAACCATTACTTGAAACTTAAACTTTTTTCTTAAAAAGTCAAAATATTTATTATATGAGTTACAGCTATTTTCTGTTTAAAATCACACTTTCGAAATTTTATTTGACACATATTAAATGGCTTGTCTACATTAATCTCTATTATTGGTTATTTTATTTTAAAAAGATCAATCACTTTTGGAAACGTGATTAAAGAGAACGCGATATTAAAGAACTTTAAAACCTAAGTAACAGGGCACCATGCATTGTAATCGTACTAAAGAGAACGTGATATAAAGAACCTATTACAAGTAATAAATTCAACAAAAAAGGAGTCATGTGAAGTCCTAAGCTAAATTATTGAATTTGTTATTTATTTTGTTGATTAGATTTAGGTTAGTCTCTACTTTAAAAAGTTTCATTTAAGTTTTATATTTTAAACAGGAGTAAAAATATTCTTCTATCAGCTTACTAAATGCAATGTGATATAAATAACTATTTTACATTGATGACGCATTTGCGGATTTAGTTTTACAAAATAAATTTTGTTATTGTTAATTTAGTGACGGTTAAAGGTCGTTAAAAACTAAAACTATATAAATTTAAGTTAATTTTAGATAGACGAAATTAATGTTAGAAAAAAAAAAGGAATGGTCATTTTGGCTCTGTTAAAAATATAAAAGATGTTTGCAAAATTTGGGTCATGTATATATATGATACATAATTTAAATGTGTTAGGGCCATTATTAATAATGTCAAATAATAAAGTGATCTGACTAAATTAAAGTTTTTGCTAAAGGTATACGTCATGAAAATAAAATTGTGTAGAGACCATAGAGTAATTTCTAATTTAATGAGATGCCAAATTGGAAATACTAAAACTTAAGTAATTAACCTAATTCTGATTATCTAAAGAGTCATGGTCCCCTTCTGGGAGCACACACACAACGTAAGTATCAGTCTCGTTCCTTTCTTTCTATCCCCATCAAGAGAGAAAATCAAGAGGGAAATACATGTGCTTTTCAGGTGGAAGACCATAAGATCAATATAGTACTCTACAAAGACATCATCATTATGGCTAATTCAGGTACGCTTTCGCATTCAGTTTACAGTATGTTTATCAGTATGGGATTATATTTATGTTTGATCGTTAGAATCAAAATCAGGAATATTATTATTATTAATTTTTCAACAATTGGTATCAGAGCCGCCCATATTTGATTCATGTCTGTTTAATTTATAGAACCCTAATTATGAAAATTAGGATTAATTTTATTTTAAACAATTCAAATTACCCAATTTTATGAACCCTAAGTGGAGAATAATCTCTAATTTTCGTGAACCCTAAAATTTAAAATTTGGGGGTAACATTCTCAATCTGATTTTGCTTGCTGATGGAACCGTGGAGGAAGCTATGAATTCTTCTTCTTCTTCGGTTTTCCCTTTTATTTCGGTTTAAGTTTCAAGTTTTACTGAGAAAGAAATAGTGTTTCAAATTTCAATCTTTCTTGTATTGGGTTCTCTGTTCTTTTTTGAATCTTTTGTTTTTATTTAATTTTATGGGTTTGGAATTGGGGGTGGTGTTTGGGGAATTCCCAACACAGAAAATTTTAGGTAAATGGTGAATGTTTCCACAGGTGTGACTGTTCTTATTTTATTGCCTTTAGGAAAATTTGATGTTAAATTCCCCTATTTAGGGTTTGAATGATTACTGTTTAATCCCCTTTTAGGGTTTATAGCAATGTGTTAAAGAGACTTAGAACTATCTCTATTTCATCCCTAATGAGATTTTAGGGAGATGTTCATCCTTTATGTATTGGTGGAAAATGAGGCATTTTTCCATCCTTTGATTTGTTCAAATGAGGTGTTCATCCCTAATAAGATTCTAGGGAGGTGTTCATCCTTAGTAGAATTCTAATGAGGTGATTCTCTTTTGAATTAGTTTGCAAATATTAAATATTTGGTTTTGTTATATAAATAAAATATTCAATTTTTTGGTAGTTTAATATTTTTTGTGAGCAAATTGAGTCAAGAAGTCACCAAAGTAACCTCTCTTGAATTGGGCAGTTCATGAAAAATATTGAATGTTAGTGTTTGTGTATATTCATGCGAGTATTAGTCGACCCAAAGGAAGATTAATATTTGGCCGAATTGCATACACACTTGTAATGATAAACATGTGATAATTATAAGGATTTGCTTTATCGATGATAAATCAATCCAAAGACTAGTTTGTTGTTGGACGTGTTTTATTGTCAATGTTTGATTATTACAACAAGATACCTCTAGCAGTTAATATTACTATCCAAAGACTTAATATTGATGGTGCATTGGGTGTCTTGAGATGGGTTAAACCACTATTTGAATATATATTATTTATTTTTTATATAATGTGAGCATAATTAGTTTATTTCTTGTGTTCTAAATTCAGCTACAATTGCTTCTGTATCTTCCAATTTAAATTTTGTTCCGGTCCTCAATGGAACAAATTTTAAGGACTGGAAAGAGAATATTGATATTACTCTTGATTGCATGGCTATGGATCTTGCGTTAAGGATCGAGCAACCCCTACTCCTACGGATTCAAGTACCTCCGAACGTGAAAATAGATTATGAGAAGTGAGATCGCTCAAATCGCATGAGTCTAATGATCATTAAGCGCGGCATCCCGGAGGTGTTTAGGGGCACTGTTTCTGAAAACATCACAAGTGCCAAAGAATTTCTTGCTGAAATTGAGCAGCGTTTTGCAAAAAGCGATAAGGCAGAGGCAAACACTCTTCTTCAGAGCTTGATCTCCATGAAATATCAAGGCAAAGGAAATATCAGGAAGTACATTATGAACATGTCTAATATTGTTTTTAAACTCAAGGCACTAAAGCTTGAACTCTCAGAAGACTTGCTCATTCATTTGGTGTTGATTTCTCTTCCTGCAACGTTTAATCAATTTAAGGTATCTTACAACTGTCAGAAGGATAAATGGTCTCTTAATGAGCTCATTTCACATTGCGTACAAGAAGAGGAAAGACTAAAGCAAGACAAGACAGAAAGTGCTCATTTTGCAAGCACCTCCAAGGCTAAGGGCAAAAGAAAGAGATCAGAGGATCTCGAGAAAGAAGCTGCTAAGGGTCCAGAACAAAAGAAACAAACTCAAGAAAATAAATGTTTCTTTTTTCAATAAGACTGGACACGTAAAGAAGAAATGTGCTAATATATCATGCTTGGCGTGAAAAGAAAGGGTTGCCTAAACCACCTGAAGCCAATTGATTCTGAAAGATGGATTTATGTTGGAGATGACAAATCGGTAGAGGTGGAAGCTATAGGGCATTTTAAATTATTATTCAGTACTGGTTTTTTTTTTATTTAGATTTGAAAGACACTTTTGTTGTGCCGTCATTTAGACGGAATTTGGTTTCAGTTTCTTATTTGGACAAATTAGGTTATTTGTGTTCATTTGGAAACAATAAGTTCAGTTTGTCTTTTAATTCAGATATTGTTGGAACTGGTTTACTTTTGATTTATAATAATCAGTATTTACTTGATATTGTGGCCACCTATAATGAAACCCTTAATACAGAATCACGTGGTACTAAACGTAAAATTGAAAATACTCACTCAGGTGCATTATGGCACAAGTGCTCAGGTCACAATCAAATCGTAACGTTTGGGCTTGTGTTACACTCTTAAAGATATGGTAGAGAGTATGATTTGTCATTCCACCTTACTGGAATCACTTTTGGGAGAGACAATAAATACGACAGCTTATATTCTAAACAGAGTATCAACTAAAGCAGCTACCAAAACACCTTATGAGCTTTGGATCGGGCGACAACTTAGTCTGAAGCATTTCCATGTGTGAGATTGTCTAGCTGAGTCAAGACCTTATAAGCCAAATGAAAAGAAATTGGACTCCCAAACAGTAAGTAGTTATTTTATTGGTTATGTTGAAAGATCCAGGGGATATAAATTTTATGATCCCACATTAAAGATAATTTTTGAGACGAGAACTGCTACGTTCTTTGAAGATATTGAGTTTGGGGGGAAGAATAATATTAAGAACTTCATCTTGGAGGAAGAATCGGTAATAATTTCATAACCGATTCAAATAATTACTTTTGATAAAGTAAGTTCGTAACCTCCACAAGGCATTGTTGATGAACCTCTTACTCAAGATGATTTGGTTGTTCATGAAGAACAAACTCAAGATCCTCAAGAACCTGTGCATCATGAGCTAATAACTTTGCAGAGATCCACTAGAGAAAGAAAAAGTGTTATTTCGGATGATTACATGGTATTTCTTCAGGAACATGAGAAAAATAATGATATAATGGAAGATGACTCAGTTAACTTCCGTCAAGCTATACAAGGTTCTAAATCTCAAAAGTGGATTGAAGCAATATGATAAGTATAAGTCCATGCAAGACAATAAGGTTTGGGAACTTGTCCCTTTACCAGAAGGTATGAAACTCATTTGGCTTCAAGATGAATATTGTTGATGATTGTGTGTATCACAAGTTTAAAGGGAGACAAGTTTAGTCTCAATCAGTGTCCAAAGGGGAATTTGGAAATTGAGGAAATGCAAAAGATTCCCTATGCATCAGTTGTAGGGAGTTTGATCTATGCCCAAGTATGTACGCATCCAGACATAGCATATATAGTTGGGGTTCTAGGCAGATATTTAAGCAATCTAGGAATAGACCATTGAAAAGCAGCAAAAAGAGTCATAAGATATTTAAAGAGAACAAAAAATTATATGCTCACATATAGGAGGTCAGACCAGTTGGAGATCGTTGGGTTTTCTGACTCAGATTTTGCAGGATGTCAAGAATTTGTAACATGTTATGAGGCATCAAATCATGGAATATGGCTGAGAAATTTTGTCACAGGGCTGGAAATTGTGAAAGGCATTGAAAGACCACTTAAGTTATATTGTGACAATAAATCAGCTGTATTGTTAAGGAAAGAGTACAAAGTGGACAGATTTTCATAGAACACTTAAGGACAAACTCCATGATAGCATATCCTCTAACTAAAGGACTTCCGCCCAAGGTCTTTCATGAGCATGTTGCTCACATGGGTGTTTTACAGTTTGAGGAATTTGTGGTTTAGTGGGAGTTAGTCACTTTCATATATTTTATGTTCTATGTTTAATTTCATATATGTATACATTGATTTTTGGACATATTTGGTTATCTATAGATATGCGGTTTTTTTGTTCATTCATTACACTTTGTACATTAAGGATATTATATCGATCTCAATAAGTTAAAGTTTGGACCAGTTGAAAATAGACGTGTACAGATCACCTTCACGTAATTTTTCATGCTACACATTTCATGATGAATCCATGTCATTTGATTATGTTAGGATGAGTAATCATTGTTGGTTTTAATTGCGATGATGCAATGAAAAGCTGATTTGGTTCTATATCCTAATATGATTAATGGACAGGACTTTTGGAGTATGCTAAAGGAATATAATGACAATTTTGAGCTCATAAAGTCTAACACATTTGTAAGGTTGTAAGGACATATATATTTGTGACCAGTGGGAGATTGTTGGCAAAATTTGGGTCATGTATATATATGATACATAATTAAAATGTGTTAGGGCCATTATTTATTAAACCAAATAATAAAGTGATCTGACTAAATTAAAGTTTTGGCTAAAGGCATATGTCATGAAAATAAAATTGTGTAGAGACCATAGAGTAATTTCTAATTTAATGAGGGGTCAAATTGGAAATACTAAAACTTAAGTAATTAACCTAATTCTGGTTATCTAAAGGGTCATGGTCCCCTTCTGGGAGCACACACACAGAACGTAATTATTAGTCTCGTTCCTTTCTTTCTATCCCCATCAAGAGAGAAATTCAAGAGGGAAATACAGGTGCTCTTGGAAGACTGATAGTCGTTCCGCAAGCGTACAGAGTATCGCGTAATAAAAAGTTATCGTTCCCACAGAGATTGTGCCCAAGTACCGGTACACAGTGATTCAATTATCTAAACAAATCGTTTCAAATAGAATATATTGCAAAATGAATAGAAAACCAAAAACTATTGACAAGAGACTCAAGGTGAAAACTTTCTTAGGAGTCGGTAGGTTTATATGTTACGTATTCAATTTAAATCAATTCGTTTCCCATTATTTAACTTCTATTTCTAAGGTGAAATTTCCTTAATTGATTAATGTATTCCTCTCGAAACCCCACTAACGTACCTAATTACCGAAGAACAACGTTCAATTCGTTAAGTAGATCCTTTACGTTTTATGAAAATCCAATTACCCCTCAAAGAGTTTTGTCTACTTTCGTAACCCAAATTCCTAGGTTCAATTCCATGCTTTTCTAATGATATATCGATCTCTCAATCATCCACATCATTTAAATTCATCTAACCTTATCTCTAAGCCATTAGAAGCTTTAGGTTCTCATGGAAATGAATAGAAAACAGAAATTCAATAACAGAGAAATTCAAAGTATTCAAAATTGATACATAAACATATTCCCCATAATCCCAAGAATGAGATTTAGTGTGCCATAGAAATGATGATTACAATCCACAATACAATAAATCAAACCCTAACATAAGAGAAAAGTAGAAATGAGACAGGAAATTAAAGAATAGAAGAGAAGTTCTCACTATCTCCTCTGTAGCTTCTTCAATTTCCCTCTTGATAGAAGAAATCGTTCTCCCTCTTTTGCTCTGGTTTTCTTCAATTTTCTTTTTGGGAAAAACGCCTCTTGTCTTCGTCGTGGTTTTTGTGCTCCGTAACTTCTTTTTTATATCTTTTATGCTCAAAAACCGCTCCTCTAATTCGGGGAAAATGTAAAACGTGCGGAATCCACCGGCAGTGGGGAAAACCCACGGCCGGTGGATCGTGACGAGGGCCCAATACTCTTTTTCCGAGTGAAGTCCACTGGCAGATGGGAAAAACCCACGGGCGGTGGATCGTGACAGGGGTCCAATACTCATTTTCCAGTGAAGTCCACTGCCAGTGGGAAAAACCCACTGCCAGTGGATTTCACTTAACTTCACCAAAAATGCTCTTTAACAATGCTTTAAGGCCCTGAAGTGTTCTTTTCTCTTTTCTTTTACAATGCAATCCAAGGTTTTATTTTTGTGCTTTTAGTGGCTTGAATTCCTTTCCATCCAATGCTTCATCAAATGCTTCCCGTTTCCAAGTTTATAAACCTATAACAAAGCTATTCCTGCAAAACTAAGACACCCGAATAACATGTGTGGAATGAAGGAAAACAATTGGAATTAAGGGGAATTCTAACACAAATAAACTAGAAAACTTAAATAAAGCGCCATTAAAAATAATGCAAACTAGACACTTATCAAAATACCCCAAACTAAAACATTGCTTGTCCCTAAGCAATCACCATCACCACAAGCATGAGTAATAAAGAATGAAGAACTTCAACCATCTAAAGGAATCTTATTTAAAATATTATTAATAGACGATTGCAGCATTATCAAATTAGAAGCCACACAATTATTCATGCCATGCTTACTATGACTAGACTAGAGATA